GTTTTTGAACGAAGTAGCTAATTAATTTAGACAAATCCAGAAATTACCAGACACTTTCTTTATCAGGAGAGCTGTCAACACATCTGATAAGAAGTGTTCTAAGCAGCTCTAGTGAAACTTGATGCTATGTTTTGGTCTACAAGATGCAGCCTACTTGTAAATAAAATACAGTTATCCATGTACGTAAAATATGGTTCAACAAAAAAAACAACAACTAAAAAACAACAACTAAGTATGAGAAACGTATGTGGTATATGCCGTGTTTATGTGTCTGATCATATAATCTTGAAATTATCCATCAATTTCTCAAGAAATTGGCGAAATAAGGAAACCAGAAAATACATTTGATGAAAGGGCGGCGTTTATAGGCTGTATGAAATGACCCTACAGTAACGCTCACATATATGAGTTTTAAACATTAATTTAGTAGACTAAAGTGTTGATATGAAATCTCAGTAATAGTACCAGTTAGGAGATAAGGTGATGTCCGATTTAACATTACGATTGCTGGATATGACATATTTCCCGACCACAGTCAGATTGAGCCCGTTTTACGACATTTTCGTAGGACTGGCAAGAACGGGTAAGAACTAGTTTGGTGTGATAAGGGGGTTATCGTCGCCAATTCTGTAATCAGCTCTAAAGTATTATATGAAATCCTAATTTCGATCAAATGTGATCGTGAATCACCACAATATATCGTCTTCCATATCGTCAATCACAACAGAATCTGAATTTCAAACAATGACCAGAGACGACGACATATGGTAAGATGTGACAAGGGACTTTGTTGATTTATTGTGTTTGAACGTGGGAGAAATCACAACGGGAACCAAACACATTACCGTTGCCTTTCTCGATAATTATACCGTCCGTTGTCATCCGATTTTATTTACAGTATATTCGACATACATGTACCGTTGTCATGTATACAATATACCTCGTCCCCAGTCATAAAGAGAGGGGGAACCCCCAGAGCTTTAGCGGTGACTGACATATTACGTCTCTTGCGTACCGCCTCCGTTTGCGCAAATTCTCACCAGTTAGTTTTCGAATATAACGCATCGTTGTGATGTTTTATTCGATGTTATCATATTCTTTACATCTTTCTTTATCTTGATGTGAAATAACAAGCTATGCTATTGGTGAACACGCCAGAAATTAACATAATACTATTCGAGGCGTTATTAGAAAATTTTGAATCCACAATTTTTGTTTATGATTTGGACCAATCAGAGACGTGGGTCATCTCAATACAGGTTTACATTATAAGCGAACGTCATCTTTGATCTCTGGGGTTAATTCCCCCTTCTGTCATATTTTGATCGGTAAAATCATAGGCTTTTTATTTCACTAAATGTGAGAATGTCAATATGTTATACAAAACAGAGAGAGATAATATAACAACTTCATGATCACCTCTCGTATATTCCCTTCCCTGTTTGAACTAGATCAATGACATATAAATACATTTCACACGCCTCTGAACAAATTGCAATTAAAGTAATGCCATAACATAAATCATAATACAAGCTGCTTATAATTAAACCAACTCTGAAGATGTGTTCCTTTCTTCGCACTTATTCCACCTACTTCATAACTTTTGTTCTTTTACTTTAGTCTTCATTAAACTTCCAGAACGTATATGTGAAAATAGCCTGACAGTAAATTGGTAACCATTGTCATAGGTATGGAGGGCAAAGTTCTGACTCACAGCTATATCAGATATTACTTTTTAAATCTTGGGATATGAAGTAAAGTTATAATTAATTCATTCCAGGGTCACTTCCTAATCTGATTCATCTTCACTTCACAGGCCCGTAGCAAACGGGGGATGGGCGTCAGCCAGGGGGTTAGGACCGATACGACCTGGCTAAAATTCTTTCAAAAATATACAGTTTTTCACCACTCTGACTTCTGGGCACATTTAAGTGATTTTGGGCCAACTGTCAAATGTGAATTCCCCTGGAATTTCTTGATAAGTGACCTTGGTAAAAGCTAGCTACCTGCCTGGGTGCTCAAAGTAGACATCATTAATTGGCATCAATTCACACCTGGAGGTGTTTACTGCAGACATCAGCTGATTTGGATTGTGATGGGATATTCCTCTAAAGATTTATTATATTGTGATACCATGGGTCTTAGTTAATTAATTAATACATAGTACGAATTTCACCATATAACTGTTTGATTCATCAAAAAGTGGTTATTTGAAGTATAACAATAATTCTTCATAGTCCATTTGTCACCCCTATACATCCAATAGTGAACCTAGAAATTGTTAAAAGTACGATGTTTTATGGTCGATTCATGATAATAAGGGTTTTCTGAAGTGATTTAACTGGGTTGCCCAAAAAGTTTGTTTGGGGAAAAAATGATATAGGCTGATTAGGGAGGGGTGCAATCGCTTAACATGGCGTTGACTATTGACTTAGCGTTTGGATACCACCATATACCTGGTATGTTACCATGATAATAGATACAAAAATTTTCCCCAAAGTTATTTTTTGGCAACCCAGCTAAATCACTCCAATAATCCCTAATGATAGTATTAACACAGAAAAACATCATACTTTTAAATATTTATACGTTCAGAAAATGACAAATGGACTATCATGTAAAACTTTAGGTTTGCCCCGCATACCCGTGACAGTGGTTACCATAGTGGCCATAACTCTGTCAATACTTAATTGATTGTCATGGCATTTGTATGGAATAAGGTCAGATATATGTCTCCAATGTTGTTTAGGTTTCTCAAAGGACAAATCAAGGGAAGAAAAGTTATTCCAAAATAAGCAATATTTCTCGAACGGCCTGAAATTGCTAATTAAAATTCTGAATTTACCTCTTGTCGACATTTGTTAAATTATATCAATTTGACCTGCTTTAGTTAAACGGTCGTGTGAGTAATGTACACTTCAATTACATACCAGATCTGTTAATGAAGAAAGATGAATCCCTTTGTATGGGTAATATACACTTCAATCACTTAACAGAACTGCTAATGAAGAAAGATGAATCCCAATGTTGATAATGTAAACTTCAATCACTTAACAGAACTGTTAATGAAGAAAGATGAATCCCTAGTATTGATAATGTAAACTTCAATCACTTAACAGAACTGTTAATGAAGAAAGATGAATCCCTTAGTATGGATAATGTTCACTTCAATCACTTAACAGAACTGTTAATGAAGAGAGATGAATCCCTTAGTGTGGATAATGTTCACTTCAATCACTTAACAGAACTGTTAATGAAGAAAGATGAATCCCTAGTATTGATAATGTTCACTTCAATCACTTAACAGAACTGTTAATGAAGAAAGATGAATCCCTCAGTATGGATAATGTTCACTTCAATCACTTAACAGAACTGTTAATGAAAAAAGTTGAATCCCTAGTATTGATAATGTTCACTTCAATCACTTAACAGAACTGTTAATGAAGAAAGATGAATCCCTCAGTATGGATAATGTACACTTCAATCACCTAACAGAACTGTTAATGAAGAGAGATGAATCCCTTAGTGTGGATAATGTACACTTCAATCACTTAACAGAACTGTTAATGAAAAAAGTTGAATCCCTAGTATTGATAATGTAAACTTCAATCACTTAACAGAACTGTTAATGAAGAAAGATGAATCCCTCAGTATGGATAATGTACACTTCAATCACTTAACAGAACTGTTAATGAAGAAAGATGAATCCCTCAGTATGGATAATGTAAACTTCAATCACTTAACAGAACTGTTAATGAAGAGAGGTGAATCCCTTAGTATGGATAATGTTCACTTCAATCACTTAACAGAACTGTTAATGAGGAGAGGTGAATCCCTTAGTATGGATAATGTAAACTTCAATCACTAACAGAACTGTTAATGAAGAAAGATGAATCCCAATGTTGATAATGTAAACTTCAATCACTTAACAGAACTGTTAATGAAGAAAGATGAATCCCTTAGTGTGGATAATGTACACTTCAATCACTTAACAGAACTGTTAATGAAGAGAGATGAATCCCTTAGTGTGGATAATGTTCACTTCAATCACTTAACAGAACTGTTAATGAAGAGAGATGAATCCCTTAGTATGGATAATGTTCACTTCAATAACTTAACAGAACTGTTAATGAAGAGAGATGAATCCCTTAGTGTGGATAATGTTCACTTCAATCACTTAACAGAACTGTTAATGAAGAGAGATGAATCCCTTAGTGTGGATAATGTTCACTTCAATAACTTAACAGAACTGTTAATGAAGAGAGATGAATCCCTTAGTGTGGATAATGTTCACTTCAATCACTTAACTGAACTGTTAATGAAGAGAGATGAATCCCTTAGTGTGGATAATGTTCACTTCAATAACTTAACAGAACTGTTAATGAAGAGAGATGAATCCCTTAGTGTGGATAATGTTCACTTCAATAACTTAACAGAACTGTTAATGAAGAGAGATGAATCCCTTAGTGTGGATAATGTTCACTTCAATCACTTAACAGAACTGTTAATGAAGAGAGATGAATCCCTTAGTGTGGATAATGTTCACTTCAATCACTTAACAGAACTGTTAATGAAGAGAGATGAATCCCTTAGTGTGGATAATGTTCACTTCAATCACTTAACAGAACTGTTAATGAAGAGAGATGAATCCCTTAGTGTGGATAATGTTCACTTCAATCACTTAACAGAACTGTTAATGAAGAGAGATGAATCCCTTAGTGTGGATAATGTTCACTTCAATCACTTAACAGAACTGTTAATGAAGAGAGATGAATCCCTTAGTGTGGATAATGTTCACTTCAATCACTTAACAGAACTGTTAATGAAGAGAGATGAATCCCTTAGTGTGGATAATGTTCACTTCAATCACTTAACAGAACTGTTAATGAAGAGAGATGAACCCCTTAGTATGGATAATGTACACTTAAATCACTTACCAGAGATGTTCGTGAAGAGAGGTGAATCCCTTAGTATGGATAATGTACACTTAAATCACTTACCAGAGATGTTCGTGAAGAACGGCGGCTCTCTTATTGGTCCATGATATGTTGGAAGTTTAAACCGGGGGCCAAAGAAGGAACAAGATGCTAACTCCATTTGCAATAAAATCAACACTGTTAATAATTTATAATTTCTATAAAGAAACATTGTCCTTATCGTGCATATACATTTGTCAAATAACATAGTAATAATATCCATGCTTATTGTCCTGTGTTTTCCAAAATCTAGTTCGCACTTCTTAGACAATCAAGACGTCTCCATATTCTTAGATGAATAATCACTTACGCCTATTCACTGTTCCAGTCTAGTAATAGTAACAGACGGTTGTATTATGTAGTTTAAATACACAAACGATATCACTATATCACCACGGCATGTGCTAGTATAGCTCTACAAGGTGGACACGGGTCTCTGGTAAGGCCTAACATATTATATCGTTAAATCGTTTGTTTAATAGAAATACATTTTAAACTTACAGAAGTGGTCAACTTTACATATGTTTTACAATTCTACATTTTTAATAACGCATATTCGAATTTATCTAGTGATCTTCATGTTGATGAATACTCCATCTCTCATTTTGATGAACACTCCTTACATCCCATCCCTCATGTTGATGAACACTCCTTACATCCCATCCCTCATGTTGATGAACACTCCCATGAGTTGTCAATTTACTTAACAAACAAGTAAAGTATGATTTCTGTCTTGATAAAACCATAATCAAAAATACTATACTTACTTCATACGATATCATCGTACTTGTTTTACTCAATAAACTATTAAAAACAACAAAACAGGTTACAAGACATTCATTTTTGTTTTTGTTTAATACTTGCATATTATCGTAGACAGTTATACAAATTAATGGAGGGAATCACTATGCAATAAAGTTGTAAAACAGCGTAATATTTATACATATTTTTAAATTGTACGTAAACGAAAAATTGGTTAGAGCAGATATTTAAAGTGGAAAGGCCTAAAGTAAATCAACATTTCTTCCTATCAAACGTAATTGCAGTAAGTGCAAATATGTGGTATTGTCTCAGCAGTATTATTTGTTTATTAATAGCTAATATGAGTTTTATCGTATAATTGTTGTATTAACGACAACATAATTGTTATCTGAGAAGATCCCTTCCAATCTATATTCACTAGGAAGTGTTACGGATATTAACAGAAAGGGAACACAGCAATTAGTATTAATTATAACAATATATATTTTAGAAACTAAATTAAAATAGCAATAATATAAAAATTAGATTAAATATTTAAGTAATGTTCAATCGGTGATACGCCTAATTTGTTTAGCAATGTTGATAAATATCCGTAAATCTTGATAAGTTGTCCAATGATGATTATGGATATGATCCAATATGTTCGATGTGATCCGATAATGTTTATGAGAATCGATCAAATAGTATCCCATAATAGTCCACAAATCTCATGGCAGTCCACAATGTTTGATGATACTCGATGATAGTTCTCCAATTAAATGACCTTAATGTTTATTTAATGACTTCTGTTGTGCGCTTAATTCTGACATATAACCTTCCCTGAGTAAGAAGCCATTTGGTTATGTTTAACCAGCTTAAATAAGTTCTTTCCAAATATAGTTGAGGTAAATTCTGGGCTTTCTAGAATATGCCAAATTCTAGAACGTTTCCAGTCACCTGATTAAATCTGAGGCAGTGTGTATACTTTTCAGGACTTTCAAGGAGGTCATTCAGTTGGTTTTGTTTATAAAATATTATATGATATTGTGACCTTGACCTTGAAGCCTCTAATTTAGAACTGTTTCACTATTTAATATAAATTACAATTACCAAAAATGAACACACAAACTATAGAATACCTTTCTAAAATGAAATTTCATCTAAATGTAACCTCGAAGTATCATTGGAATTCTCATCTGTAAGCCCTGATTGCAAAATGAATTGGGTTTGGGAGATAGGGTGGGTGACTTATGGGGCAAAGAAGAAGAGATTTTATTCGATCAATTCTCTAAACGTTTTTTATTAAAGATACATAATGATATAAAACATGAAATATATGGTTAATGTTTTTACAATATATTGTTTTAATATGTGTTCTACATGTACTTTTAATATATATATTGCCGCCCTTGGATCTCAGGACCCATGTGCCACTGTTGTAAAAGTGTGCAAATAAATAAGCAAAAATATACTATATAAGTGTTAGTGTCAGTGCTGTAACAGGCGGTTGTACCAGTATATGGATAGAAATGTGTAAACATTTAGCGAATAGAATAGTGTAATAAGCCAGTTCAATATAAACCAAAGCAGCCCAGTAAAGTTGTGTGCGATTATTATAGATGCTGACGACAATAAGTTGTTTCTAAATATTGCTGTTTGGTTTTATTTTTATAGATTGCTTTTCGTTACTGATGGAAACAATTTATCAAATACTATTTGTTTATACCTGGGATTTTAATGATGTAACAAGGAATGACACCGTGAATAATGATAGATCATAATATGTAATTATGACTTCTGCTCATTTCGATACAAACAAGATGAATCGGGCAACACTATATTTGAAACCCTGGAATATAAAAATATCATATGTGCAGTTTTCATGTGTCATAGTTTTTCTTGAATTTGTCTTTGCCAATTAGTCACAAGTATTTAGGTGCCATGGAAGTTAACGGGAAATGACAAAACAAAAAGTTTTTGAAATTGTTTTGAAACAAGATAACAGAGTTCTGTTTGGACCGCCAGTCAGTTTAACTAGTTCCACATATCATTTACATGACCGGGAAAACAATGGAAATGGTCAGAATGACCATTAACATGATGAAATAACCTTTTCTGAAAATGTGACTGAAAAATAGCTGAGAGTAGGTGCTCATGAAAGGTCACTGAACAGAATCTTTTGACTTTTTCAGAAAATGTGCCCAATATATTGCTCTAAATGACACAATTTAAAAAAAATTGATATCATTCTTAGAAAAAGAAAAAACTGAAAAAAACTGAATTGAAAATCAATCTATTTTCCTTTTTACTACAGTCATTATTGTTTCAGACAATTTTTTAAAAGTTAAAAGATTGTATCATTTAGAGCAGTATATCGGGCACGTTTTCTGAAAAAATCAAAAGATTCTGTTCATTGACCTTTCCTGAGCACTCACTTTTAGCTATTTTCCAGTCACATTTTCAGAGGGCTGAAAAGGTTACCGTATTTCATGCATCATGTTTATGGTCATTCTGACCATTTCCATTTTGTTCCCAGTCATGTAAATGATATGTGGAACCAGTTAAACTGACTGGAGGTCCAAACAGAACTCTGATATTTTGGTTCAAAAAAATGTCAAAATCCAGCATGGTTTTGTCATTTTTCGTTTTGTCATTTCCTGTTTACGTCCATGGCACCTTAACAAAACTATGATCAGAAAATGATAAGCATGTTTTAACGACTAAAGTATACTAAAATAGTACATAATCCCCCATGTAATTTTCACATGTAATTATTCATGCTTGAGTTCCGAGGACACCATTTTATGATCTGGAAGTGATTAACTAGAACATCCCCGTAAATACTATTTTCCTATAGTTTATCTAGCTGCTGTAGTATGTAACTTCTTAATTAAAGCAGTCAGTAATCATTTTATGAGTACGCAAAACAGATTAAGCATTAAAGGAAACGAGGCATCACTTTAATGGTATATTTCCTAAAGTCTTCAAATGTTTTTATTACTGATAGGATTTACACGAAAGAATTTGAAAGAATTTAAACGCTTCGTGGTTATGATTTCGAATGAGGTTATTGACGTGTTTAACCAGATGTTTCTAAAGTGTTGCATATTGAAATAAAATGTTATAGCTGCCTCCTACCAAGCTCTTCAAATATCAATTCTGATTTCTCTTTAAACGATTATTCTAAAGTCGCCAGAAAAATTTAAACTGTACTGTATTAGTGTTTCTCTTTGCCGCTGTTGTGAAACTCATCAAGCTGTTTTACGAAAACGGATCCATTTACAAACTAGTATACTTTATTCGTGTTTCTCTTTGCCATTATTGTGAAACTCATCAAGCTGTTTTACGAAAACGGATCCGTTAAAACTATACTTTATTAGTGTTTCTCTTTGCCATTATTGTGAAACTCATCAAGCTGTTTTACGAAAACGGATCCGTTAAAACTATACTTTATTCGTGTTTCTCTTTGCCATTATTGTGAAACTCATCAAGCTGTTTTACGAAAACGGATCCGTTAAAACTATACTTTATTCGTGTTTCTCTTTGCCATTATTGTGAAACTCATCAAGCTGTTTTACGAAAACGAATCCGTTAAATCTATACTTTATTCGTGTTTCTCTTTGCCATTATTGTGAAACTCATCAAGCTGTTTTACGAAAACGGATCCGTTAAATCTATACTTTATTCGTGTTTCTCTTTGCCATTATTGTGAAACTCATCAAGCTGTTTTACAAACTAGTATACTTATTCGTGTTTTTATTTGCCATTATTGTGAAACTCATCAAGCTGTTTTACGAAAACGGATCCGTTAAATCTATACTTTATTCGTGTTTCTCTTTGCCATTATTGTGAAACTCATCAAGCTGTTTTACGAAAACGGATCCGTTAAAACTATACTTTATTCGTGTTTCTCTTTGCCATTATTGTGAAACTCATCAAGCTGTTTTACGAAAACGGATCCGTTAAAACTATACTTTATTCGTGTTTCTCTTTGCCATTATTGTGAAACTCATCAAGCTGTTTTACAAACTAGTATACTTTATTCGTATTTTTCTTTGCCATTATTGTGAACCTCATCAAGCTGTTTTACGAAAACGGATTCATTTACAAACTTATATACTTTATTCGTGTTTCTCTTTGCCATTATTGTGAAACTCATCAAGCTGTTTTACGAAAACGAATCCGTTTCGGTAACAAAATGTCGTATTCTCGAAGGTACGATTTTTGAACCGCAATTGAGGATTGCTGAATATACTTCGACCCTACTAAAGAAGAATCTGTATTTTGCTCGGAAATCTTAAGCTAGGGAGCACTGGTATTCACCTTTTTCTTCAGTCCTGTTTTTCTTTTTGACACCCTGTATATTTCACAATACCTCGACACAAGTGGAATAGTGAATATATCGGGAGTGAAACTTTGTTCATAAAGTCAATTTTTAACAATAGGAAAGGAAATTTTGTGAAAATTTTGATAGAAGAAATCTATGCATACTTGATGTTTGCATGTCTGTGAAGATACATGTGGTTTGTCTCGAGCTCTGTGTCGAACCTTGAACAATGATAAGAGTTGCAGCAAAAGGGACAGCATCTTTTCCATTCAATCGAGGTTGTGCCATGCAACCGAGGGTAAGCAATGCAACCGAATTTTGCCGATTTAATCTGACGGAGAATGCCGAGCCTCTCTTTTTGACCAATTAGAAACGTCCTCTTCCCATTCGTTGTACCCTCGGCCAACTTCGTTTGCCAATAAAATCTTCGGCAGTCTCCGGCTTTTCTTGAAGTATCTTCGGTTGCAACCCAAAAGTCGACACCTGCAGCAAAAAGCCTCATTTTCGTTTTGGCTAAAGATTTAAGATTTGACCTTCAATGACCTTCTCAAGGTTAAGAAAGTATTTTTCAACTAGCTTCAAATTGACCAATTTTTTCAAAATCATCTACAAGTTCTCAGAAGAACAAATCTGATTTGAGATTTGAGATTTCACCTTCATGACCTTCTTAGGTCAAAAATGATTTTTTCAACTTGCTTCAAATTGACCATTTTTTTAAAACATCTGCAAGTTCTCGAAACTTCAAATTTGGCCATAGATTTGAGATGTTGTTTTTTAATGACCTTCTCAGGGTCAAAAAAAGATTCACAATATTGTGAGCAACTATGACATTGTTTCGTGGTATAAGGAACGTAGTTCTATTTAGAACCTGTTTGGCGACTGCAATGGTATACCTCATCACTATCTTAATATATGTACATAAGCGTACATAAATATGATGGCGTTTTGACACTCCAACTATATAAGAGAGCTGAACTTTTGATTTTCATGGGATATTTTTGTTGAAATTTTTTTGACATGAAGTAGATGTTTCCTATATTTCTCTGAAATTCTCTGAAAATCGATGGGCTGTACGTGATTTGAGAAAATCTAATATAAACTTTGTCAATTTAAAATGCATCTCAATGGTACAAAAAGTAAGGAGAGTTCTACCGTAGTAGTAAATTCTGTCTATCTATGAGCATTTCGTTCATGGTTATTGTGCCTTCGGATACATAAGAACGTACCCACTGTATGTACAGAGATCGCCTAGTATTAAAAGTGGGTGATCAAAGACTCGACAAGATGCGCAAAATGCAAAATGTCGGAGGAAAGGTATGTTTGTTTGTCTTCTCTTTACCAGTTTAAAGTCATTTTACCTACAGATGGTATTCCATATGCTGTATAAGAGACTCAAGATTCATTTGGTAACAGGATTCAGTGATTAAATCAACCGAAATACCTGAACTGAGTTGATAAAAGAAGCAAAATCAAAAACCCGTCGAACGAAAATGTATTTTTCACAAAATTTTCTGTTTTTAGATTGCCAAAACCACAAAACCAATATCATCTATGGTTAATATACATAAAACTTAACATTACATGCATATCAGACGTCCCAACTCCCCTTCAGTATCGAGTAAGGAGGATGTTATAAAAAAAATTATGATCAGCCAAGTGAGTGATTTTACCATGTGGATTCTAATGATATGTTCTTTGCATTTCAGAGTGGTTGGATTTACATGTTTCTATTGTCCTTCACTACGAACTGTTAAATTTCAAAACATTATAAATCACCTTATAGAACACCATGAAGATGAAATGATGAAGATGAGAAAGATTATTGAAAATAGAGGCAAATTTAGAATGATTAGAAGAACTATGAGCTTGACAAGTAAAGATTTGGTTTTAATTATAAATCAAACAAATCTTTAATGTACATATGACCAAAGCCTAAACTGGAACTTTTCCTCAGCCCATCCACATAAGGCTGTCTAGAATAGCAGAGTATTCATTTCACTTTGTTTCTCTAAAAACGCCCACTGGGCGTTTATTTTGCATTCGATTACATACAATTCTAACATTTTCAAGATAATCACCTATACACCTTAGTTGAAAATTGATCAATAAATCTTCTGAATATTGAACTATAGAGCAGCTTTCCCCTATACCTATCATTTACATATGACCCAAGTTAGCCACCTCGTGGTGAAACTGGGAACTGACTATTGGCATCTACTGAAGGTCATTACATTTTTCTATAACTTATTGATACCTTGCTGCAAAAGAATGATTTAACTCCCCAATGAAATAGAAAGTGTACAATTCAGATTTAATAAGTTTATTATGAGACCCCATGTCCATAACAACCACAATCATGACAATGGATGATACAGTGACATACATTTTCATTTATGATTTATTCAATTCTTGCATTACAATTCGACAATCATCTTGGATGCCAAGGTGTTAAGTTTTCATACCTTGGAATCAGAGGGTAGAATAAATGGACTGAAATGTGACTTTAAAAACTGTTCCATTTATAAGGTGTTACGCTTCAAGAGGTTTTTCTCTTAGCAGTGTACAGTGTACATATCATATTGTATTCAAACATAGACAGAATAACAAAATATACGCACACAGTGACCATTTAATCGAATGAATCAATGAACGGTGATGTACATGTTTATTTTAATTTGGACATACATTTTGCATGAAACCCCATTTTTCTTCCCTTTAAAGCATATAGTGTATGATCTGCTGAAACTCACGCTATAGGCCGATTAATTCATTTCTGTGTTAAAATATTTATTCCATGTTATTTAAGAGGAAACGTGAACTTTGTCATGGTCAAATGGAAGCCCAAGACCCTACCTAAGTATAAAAAATTAAAGTGAGTAAAAATCTTCTATTGTTTTTGATATTAAAGCTTTTTAAATAAAACAGCACATATTATATCGCATTTATATCTTTACATCGTAAAATCAATCACATATACGAAAAATGGTCAAAGTAATATATATTTTTCAAAGCATATGGGTGTTCTTGTGCCTACAAAACCTTATTGAATCACCAGTAGCGTGTAATATAAACACAAATAAATCTTTTAAAAATAACCGTTACAAGATATTTGAATTTTGCGCATCTTGTCGAGTCTTTGATCACCCACTTTTAATACTAGGCGATCTCTGTACATACAGTGGTACCGAACAACTACCAACAGAGATATAAATTGTATATCGATAATACCAAGTAATTAGTAATATGTGCACACAAATACGTGTTTTGTTTATAAATCTATCCATAAACTATACCATAATGTTTATAATGTTGAACATTAATATGACGATATAAAGTGAAGGACCGATTTTATAGTAATAAATCTGAAATTAAAACAATGCCTTAAATGCTTTATTGCTAGATCGATTGGAACATTGTTGACAAAGTCAACGAATATTATCTTGTCGTCCATACAAACTGTTGAGGTCATTGTGGGTTCCACAGTCTGTATTAGTCCGTACAAACTGTTGAGATCATTGTGGGATCCACAGTCGGTTTTAGTCCATACGATCCACAGCCTGTATTAGTCCATGCGATCCACAGTCTGTATTAGTCCATACGATCCACAGTCCGTATTAGTCCGTACACACTGTTGAGATCATTGTGGGATCCACAGTCGGTTTTAGTCAATACGATCCACAGCCTGTATTAGTCCATACGATCCACAGTCTGTATTAGTCCATACGATCCACAGTCCGTATTGGTCCGACAAACTGTTGAGATCATTGTGGGATCCACAGTTTGTATTATCCCTTGGAATAGACAAAATCAGGCTTATATAAAAAGAGACTCTCAGATAAATCAGAATGCGTTAGGATAGCAAAGTGATTTCAACATAAATTGGAAAATTTGGGGAATCTCTTCGAACCAGAAGTTACATTTTCAAAAAATGAAATTTCAAAGTTGATAGACAATTTTTTTTATTTTAGAGATTTTAACATGGGCCATCGATAATCAACCTTTTCACTATTTGTTGCATACTTTTTCTGACATTGTAATAAAAGTCATTGTTAGGTCTTATATAAATTTATTGGTATGATATATAAAAAACGACCGCTATCGAAAGTGTAGTATTGGGGTTCTCTCCTTAATCTTAGCTGAAATATATTTTTTACGGGTATATGGTAGAGTGGTTTTGATAAAGGTCCCCGCAGATTAATTCAGATTGCTTGGCGAAAGGGTGTCTAATGAAGATCATTCATTTATTCATTTATTTCTTAGACTTTTGGACATTCGCAGTAACAACGTCTGTCCAAATACTGTAAAACACTTAATATCTGCTACATGCATTTTAAGCGAGAGTGCCACCCCCGGGTCAATTTGCTACACATTATATTCGCGATATGCAAAAATCCCCAGAAGAACCCCCCGCCGAATTGAAGGATTCTTTTCCCAGAGAGAGCCCCCGATTTGATCTTCATTTATTCCACAAAGACTATTGGATATCGATTTAAAATTATACCTTATGTTTTTAATCTAATGATAGATCATCATTTTCGCGTAAAATAGTGTAAGAGTCGTGAGAATAAGGAAACACTTTAAAAAAAGAAACAAGAAAGTTCACGACCTACACAAATACACGCTTTCTTGAAGAAATGACACAAATCGGATTTACAAAATGTTCAATACCATTCACAAAAAGCATATGAAATACTTCAACATGGACCTCACTTCAACGAGAAGAGTTGACGGCGAAGAAAATGCTGCTTTGTTGAACATAACACATAATTTATCAGATGGATATTACATATATATTAAATCCGTATCCAACTCATTATGACGTCTTTAAAAATACTATCCGTTGGATACGATTTTTTCATTAGTTTTGAATTTGGCTCCAAATAACCACCCAGCTGTTTGATCTGCAACAATTTATTTCCAAGAATATGTGCTCAGTAAAAATGAGTTATTTTTCATGCAATCATTTTGTAAAAATAGTTCAAAGAAAATAAAATTAAAAAATTAGAAAACAACAACTTTTAGGTCAAATATTTTTAATCCATAGAAAAATAGCGACCATGGGATAAATATGATATCCTATGACTCTTGGATATGGCCGATCTCGACTCATTCGCTGCGCCCGCTCGTGGATATAGGCGATATCCCCTCATGGATAAAAATGGTATCCCTAAAAAACAAAGGATATCCTCTCTCTATCTTCTTTTGCATTTACAGCATTTATATGACCTTCACCGTTGAGTCAAATAGTCAACAAAGTTTTTCGAAGTGCTTCTAATAGTTTTCTTAAAATCAGACTTTACGTGCATCAGCATTATATAGTGATAACTGTCAATTGATCTGGACTGACAGAATTCTTTCACTTTTCCGTTACCAGCTTATACCAATAACATGGTTTGACCTATATATTCAACCCTGATTACCTAAATATTACCTATTTATTAAATCTTTTACAAAGATTATAACACGTGCACTACGATCTTAACTATCAAATGATAAAACAAGTGTTTAGATTATTGATCTAGTTACCATCACATTATTTTTGTAAAATTGAGAACTACTACTAAGTTGTCGTAAACCATGGATATAATTTAATCTTGGTAGATAAATTGTGAACCTTGCAACTTCAAGAAGTTTTCCCAATATTACCCTTGATCCTAATATTCCGATTGATTACATTTGCCCCAAAATCAGCGGTTGAACTATATCATGAGTCTGGGCATGCGCTTTGTGCAATTTCATCGACTCGACTTTCAAGTTCTTCGAATTTAGAAATCAGAAATATTCTCTCTTCAGTCCCTGCTATTTGTAACCATTCTTTTTGCCCTGCAAATTCACCAGTCTGCCTGTTGGGTAGGCCTACGACGAAACTTGAAACTCCCTTCTCCTCCCGTATCAGTCGACCATACAACTCCGTTTCTTCTCGCGCCTGTTTATTATCTCCCTTTCTCCCGAGATAAGTTTTACCGTCTGTCATAACAATAAGAATATCTGGAAAATCGGGTCGATTCCCGTTAAGCGGATCAAGATAGAAGTCGTGTATTGTTTGTAGGGCTTTGTTTGTGGCGGTGTGACACTTTTTGGGCTCATCGACATACCGTGTTGTAAAGCGACGCATTGTTCCCGGTTTGTTGACAGTTTCACTCAAGTACATGATGTCGTGAATCACACCATCATACGTCACACCACCGACTTGAACGAAGTTAGTGCCTTTTATTTTAAATCGATCTATCGTATTTAGTACGAAGTTTTTCACACGCTGTCTGTCATCCGCTGTGATGCTACAACTCACGTCAACGACCCACAACAAATCAATACCACATCGCCTTTCTTTCTGGACTGCAAATAAATATGAATATTATAAATTCAAAAAAAATTCAAATTGCGATCGCCAAATGCATAAAGTAGCAAGCTTTTAACAAGTGTGTAATATGAATTGTTGGATCCACAGTCTCTATACTTCCTTCTTTGAAACCAAGAGACTGTGGAATAATGACTGTAGAAAGTGTATTTCAAGGGTAGTTGTGAAAAATAATTAAGGAACCCCATTTTTCAAATGGGTTCATCCTTGTCAAAGAATGTAATTGAGGATATGCGGATTGAAAAACTAGCAACATGTTTCAAGTTCTTACGATCCTTGGTTGAAGTAAATATTTTGAAAGTTCTAATATCGAATGTAATCTCCGACTCAATGAAAATTGTTGATATTTGTGAAGTATTTCTTTCGGAATACACATTGCTGGATCACAGAACCTTGCCTTGTTCGAGATACACGACAAGTGTATTGTTAATACTTGACGTCGTTCGGATATTTGGATGTGATTGACGTTTTCGGTAATCTCCTTCCACTGTAACTTCCAACTTTATTTTTGAAATCCAAATATGATAGTCACGAATTGATATTTAGGTAAGACGTTAATGCATACATCATATGTGTACATTAACTGTCGAATACATGCCGACTTACATTTATATAAAAATCCACACTTTAACTCAAATCACCAATGCTTGAAACGGTTTAATCATCTTGTCTGGCGAGTCTAATGTTTTCATTTTAATTTATAATTATGGTATCGGATTTGAGTATATTTTTGAATGAGACTTAGACAAAGCAATAGAAATGCATGAAACCCCTTGTGAAAATTCGAGCGATTTTTCAAGAATTCTCCTTCAAAGTGTTCTCCGGAAACGGAAATTTCGTCTTGTGCAATCAAAATAATGGCGGGTAGTTTGAATTTTTGTTTGAGTTTATAGCTTGCATCTCTAAAACATATTATCTCAATGAAAGGAACATGCAGTTCTTGGCGATCCGTCATGATAAAAAGCTAAACGTTGTAAAATACAAAAAATCACAACTGTAGATAACAACGATGATAAAATTATTTATAACGGAAATATATACATGTAACATTCGTTGGCGTGTGCATTCCTCCAAGTGCATTGATTTACTTGGAGAATGTGCTTGCTCGGGACATGTTTTTCTTATGATAATTAGAGTCTCTCACAAGCTGTAGAAAGAAAGAGACTCTGATAAGTCAGAATGAACTATATGTATTATTCACAAACTATTTCTATACTGTCGGATAACATGAACTCTATTTTTATTCATTTACGGAGACGTTGCTACTAATGCTGTACTTCTTTTTGAAACATATAGATGGATTAAATGAATCCTGGAGACCTGATAAAGAGTAACACGTTTTTAATAACAAATTGTAAAAGTCAAAAAATGATGGGAATAAAAATAATAAACTTAACTTTCACTTACTTGTAAAGTTTCCTTGGACTGCTTCGTTCAACTCCGCCAGTGATTTCCTGCACGCATTCGATATTTGTTTGCACACTGGTTTAGATGATGACTTTCCCTCCTCTGCCGCCTTGCGGAGAAAAATGGGAACAGACATTCCTGATGGGCAGTCCTTCAGCTCGTAGCGTCCCAATGAGTCACACTCGTAGTACTTACATTTGTCCTCGGGGTCAGCCAAGTACCTCTGATTGACAGTGGAACAAACTGAAATAAACATTTTTGTGTCACTTTCAAAAGTGTAAAGTAAACTTTTTGAACACGCTCATAATACTTGATATCAAAGAAAGTGTTATTGCATCAATTAGTTCAGTTTCAATTAATTCATTTTAATTATTTCTTAATACTGAAAAGAGCATTATATGTTTTGCTTTGTTTTACATGTTGTGTACTGCCAATTAATGATTGGGGATCCGGAGAATCAACAAAACGTTTGGAGACATACGCATGCGCGAATAAGTCCAGGTATTTTGCACTTCCGTCCACAAATTTGACAATCAGAAATCCCATTTGGATCATTTATCGAAGGTCGTTTATGTTCAAATATCTTTGCCGTAGCTATTGTTATTGGAGTGTTCAACACTGCGTAGCGTCCAGTAAGTTAGTAAAATATAAAATATCCGACTGACGTCATGGATAAGCCGGGAAGGCGTTGAATGAGCGTCGTGTGTTGATATTGAATATAGATGTAACCACATACGTTTCGTTATTGGGATTGCAAATTACTATTAGCAATACTTTGTATATACCGAATATTAACTTACTCACTGTTATACGAGGGGTGATAAATAAATAAAGGAGGCTTCTTACACGGACACTTCCAATAGACCGATCTCTTTGATCATATTACAAGTGATATATCGTATATCATCATATATCATATCTTTAAACCCTAAAAGTTTGAAGAAGAAATATACACTACACTTTTATGTGTCCTAAAAATGGTTACCATATTTATTATTTGTGAGAATTTAAACATTTCCCCCATTTTTGCACATTGAAACTTTGACAACTTCACCATTGGTATCATATCGCAGATCTTTTGGGGGAAATTAAATTTGAGATTGTAAGGAATATATCGGTTGGCCAATTGTACATGTTGCTTGAAATTTAGTCATCGCTTATAGATCTGGTTCTGCCTTTAAGTTTATGTTTTATGTTTATGTTGATTGTATTAATCTAACAATGTAATTAGTTTATATGAAATCTGATTTGAAATCGGGATTAAAAGATACATAAACGGAGATCTTATTTAGAGACGCGAAATCAATTTTTGCAAAGTTTAAATATCTGACTATTTACGATCTAGTCACGTAACCAAACACATCTTTGATCATCGTGTGTAAATATCCTTACCGGAGTGTTTGCTTATTCTTATGTTAGCATTCCGTTGTTTGATTTCCTCTGGTGTATGATCAAACGCGAATGCTCGTACCACATGTCCATATTTCTCGCTTTGCATAGCTGCTGTTTTGTGATTTAATTGAACTGACAAAAATACGCAAATTGTTAATATCCATTTTTGAAGTATGAAGAAATGAGTTTGATTCATCTTGTACAGAATCCAAAAGAGAAAGAACAACAATGGACAAAGATGATGTTTTTAATAATGAAACAGATGTGTTTTTTCTCAATATGGATGATATTGTGTTTATTGTTAACTCTTGTGTCAATTGGTAAGGCCTTTTTAATATAGAAAATACATGCAAATATGTATTCTGAAAACATAGATAATAATGTTCTTTGACCGTTTACGTCAAACAAAACGTCTCATTTGTTAGCATGTGGCTGTACTTGTTGACATTCTTTAAGAATCTAGATTGCTTTATGTGATGCGGTGTTAATTAAGGCGAATCTCTCACTCAAACTATCTACTAGACAAGGTTTATTAATATCCAAAATAGCTGTACTGATTTGAGCAGCTACTTATATTCAGTACCTCTGTATTTGCGATTTGCCAGTATTGGATTAACACATATACAGTGTGCCTAAAAAAACGCCATATGTCTCCTCTTTCTAATGATATATGTGACCATGGGTCACTGAATAATCATTCATTTCGCACAATGGTCCAATGTCTGCTCTGGACCAAGTTTTGGACATTTCACAATACGACAGTGAATCACCAGAACCCACAATGATTCAAAACGATGTGCGTGACATTGAGAGAAGAGTCAACATCTATCAGCAGAGAAATGATCGGCAAGGAATAGAACGTAATCATGCAAGAGTATGCCACTTCTTTTTGGACGCATGGCGTGTTGTTAACTGAATTATCATGGATACTGATGAGCACATAAAGTAAAATCTTTTTTTCTAAGAAGAACTAAGTTTTGAAATGTATTATGTTATGTAAGTCTTGTGACCAAAAGTTAATCCTCAGCCCCATTACATAATGCTTTATCTGATTGCATAATAAGGATTAGTTGATTTAGGATATTTCATAACTTGGCACAAAGGCATTTTTACCCATGTGCGAAGAAACAATGATTATTCAGTGGTCCATGATCGGATATGAACAAATGATATATCATTGGAAATGGAAGACACGTGGCTTCATGGTAGATTTATTGAAATTATCACTGGTTTTGATGTACGTCAATTTCTTTTGTTTGTTGCGTTTTTTGAGACGCATTGTACAGTTTTGAAAATCCATAATGCATACATAAAGTACGTTCTACAAATGTCAGGTCCAATAATGAAAATGTTAAGGTAAGGCATTGATGCGGAAAATATCATTTTGATAAATATAAATTAAGGTTTAAGTTTGTCCTGATTTAATACTATGAAAGAATATTAAATGTGTTTCATTACGTCGTTTGTTGATCATCTGCTAAACCAATTTGACGTTTCGACCATTTAATAAATCACACTCAGGGTTTATTACCGCTTTAAATTGAACTTCATTAGTCAAACTACTTTAAGGAGTAAACAAAATGATATTCACAATTAGTAATCAATTAAAAACACTCGTTTCTATGCATGAAATATACAGGGTGGTCCAAAATAGTAAAACACTGTTAAAAATATGTAGACGATTTTTCCTTAACCATGCCATTATTTAATTCAAATGTCAATCTCTACGTGTCGTAGAGACAACAACAGCATACATTCAGATATTATAGTATACCTATGGCCATAGTATTGTCGATACGTTTAGAAAAGCAACAGGATACGTTCCAGTGAAGATCTTGATTTATGCCCTTGTGTGACCCAACTTCACTCAATGGTCTATGTAGTATACTAGTAGTATTGAATTGATTACGATTAATACTAGGAAATGAGTCTTACCTGAGTCAGGGTCTATTGATTCATTTGGCAGCGGGTCATCAGCACATCTGATTCCAAGTTTCTCCCGAAACTCCCGAAATAATGGTAAACAACCAATCCGTGTATTCTGAGCATTCACCTCTGACCACCACATAACAATTAGGATTGAAAATAATCTGTTGACTTCACTTTTAATCATTTTATTCATATATATTTAATATATATGCTAATAAGTGTAAATATCCGTTTTTATTTAAACATAGAAAAACTTCTAATTATTATTTAAATCCAATAAAATGAATATCAAATGAATTCCACACAAATGTAGTAAATTCGTCCTACGATAGACGTTTGATCAAACGCACAAAATGACTGTGTTAAAGTTGTAAATGTATTTCCGATTGCTTGACTATTTTCAACATTTCATATAGTATATAGAAAGTTAAAATAAAGTTTCTTATTAATCTTAATTTTATGATTAACCTTGTGCAATTAATATATATCCATCTTCATCTATTAAATTAAGTGTGTACATCAATTGTAACTTAAAGCCACACAGAACAAATGTAAGGCAGTTTTGTCAAAATTTAAAAAATATCATCATCAAGATCACTATCTTACCTTGAGACTTTGATAATGTCAACATACATTTTACTGTGGAATACTGGAGATTTCTCATTTTGAAGTTTATATATCAATATCTCAATTTTACAATCCACAGATAGGATTGTGAACCGTGACCTCTTGATGACCTGATGACCATCGAAAACTGTGTACAATCCCTCCATGTGTTTACATTCATGAGTGTGAGGTCAAAGTATCATTCTGAATATGGATCAAATGACTCATAAATGGAGAATGAAAACTAAAGAGAAATCAGAACATTTTTCCTTTGTTAAAATCGTTGTCCAGTGAAACAATGCAGATTATTTAAACCTTGTGATTGAACACCCTATATACATGTAATGCTTGGGGAGTTGATAGTTCAGCTTAGTAAGAAATATTCAATATCATATACAGTATACTAATAGACATCATTTTCAAAGACGTCATACGCCATCTTTAAATCAAGAGTTATTCAAAAACATACACTTTGTGAAAAGTGGGTTGCACTACTACAGTACTACACACAAGAGATCATTTTAAAAAAATGAAGGCTCGTGTGAAGGAGATGTTTGCGGTGTTGTAATGAATTGTATTGATAAATACATTGGGGTACAGACTGAAAAATTGAAATGTTATGCATATTTTGAAAGACGTTCTATAACTTGTAAAGCAGGTATTCCTTACAGAAGAGTGTTTTCTAAGTCATCATCATTTGAATACACGATTGATCAATTTTACTGATCATTATATCGCGGGTTAGTACGAGAAAGTTAAAACATGAACATCAACACAAGTTCATGAGCTAAAAACAGTGTTAGGTAATAAAAAGCTAAAACAATAGGTTAAACCAGAACAACGGCAACGCCAAAGCGTAGCGAATCCCATCGAACAGAAATGGCTGGCATTTTTACAAACGAAATATATAGCAAATATTATAAAACAACACACCAGAAAGGCCACCATTTCCAAAATGGTTGCTCACTAGCCAAGTTGTCATCAGAAGAAATAATATCCTTTTTAGTAGCCACCTATAAAATTTTTGAAAAATCACACACAAGTACTTGTAAAATAACACACATAAAAATGGTGGCCATTTTTCAAAATGGCCGACTACTCCCCAAAGTTTTATGAGACAATGTGCCATGCTTAAAGTATTCCCATATCAAATATGAACAAAATCGCTCCACTACTTTTCGAGTTATAGTAAAAAATTGATTGACAGCCATTTTTTAAAATGGCCGCCTACTATCTGAAGTGTCATGAGACAGTGTGCAAGGCTCATGAGTATTCACATATCAAATATGAACAAAATCGCTTCACTACATTTCAAGTTATAGTAAAAAACGTAAAAATGGTGGCCATTTTTCAAAATGGCCGCCTACTACCCCAAGTGTCATTAGACAGTGTGCCATGCTTATAGTATTCACATATAAAATATGAAACATACCAAATATGAACAAAATCGCTCTACTACTTTTCCAGTTATAGTAAAATACGTTAAAATGGGGCCATTTTTCAAAATGGCCACCTTCTACCAAAAGTGTCATTAGACAATGTACCATGCTTTTAGTATTCACATACCAAATATAAACAAAATCGCTCCACTACTTTTCCAGTTAAAGTAAAATACCTTAAAATGGCGGCCATTTTTCAAAATGGCCACCTTCTACCAAAAGTGTCATTAGACAATGTACCATGCTTTTAGTATTCACATACCAAATATGAACAAAATCGCTTCACTACTTTTCGAGTTATAGTAAAATACGTTAAAATGGCGGTGTAACAGATCTAATTGTCCCCGGTGGCCAGTGTCCGTGGGACAGTTAACCCTGGGGATGCTTGTCCGTCGGACAGTTAACTCCAAGTTTTAAGTGTCCCCCTTGAAGTTTTGAATGTCCCCTTGGGGACACTAAAAACCAGCATCATTCGAAAGCTAGTTTTTAGTGCCCCCCCCCCCTTTATTTATGTATTAACTAATAATGCGTTTTATCATTAATAAATCATCGAGCACTACTCTGTCACGTTAAATATAGACCAAATATAACACAATTCACAAAATGTAAGTATATTATTGCTTTTATTTGCATAGACATCAAGTGAGCCTACATTAACCTTAATGACTCTGCATCACTGTCCTCTACTACTAATGAACATAGGTCACATTTTATCGCGTATATGTACTCCTAAATACAAGGGTCGTTCGAATAGTTTTGATGATCTTAAAAAATGTTTGGTCAATTTGAAGCAAGTTGAAATTTAGTCTTGAAAAGTTTCAAAATGTGACCTTTTTTCAGTTTTTGAGGTCTAATATCTCAAAACTGTCGCACAATTTTAATGGATAGTCAATTGCTTATATGTGTAGAACCTTTAGTGGAATATATATTCTGACTTTCATCAAAAAATATTGATTTGTAATCATCAACTTTGAGAAACTAAGAAAACACAGTTTGTGATTTAGTTTGATGACCTTGACATTTGACCTTGCAAAGGTGTGGTATCGATATGATGAACTTTTTGAACACGCGTTTCTCTTAAACCAGTCATCAAAACATTCTGAAAATTTTACACATCGTCCATTTAATGGTCATCTTTTGGATGAAAATATCTATCCGAACCTCATTGGAACAAAACGACATATAAACACAACGTGTTTAGGTCTCTCGATATTGCAGTTGCACAAAGGAAAGTTTGGTTGATTTTAAATAAGTATCTTGTTAATGAAATGAAAGGTTTATCTTAATTTTTATCTATTTTAGGGGTTTTGTTTTAAGTTTTTGGATACTTTTTGTTCAATCAACCAAAATTTTCTTTGTATAACTATAATATTGAGAGGTCTAAGAAAATGTTGTTTATGCTATTTTGTTCCAACAAGGTTCGGAAAGACATTTTATTTCATTCTCAAGAATTCGTAAAAAGGAACAAAAAAACAATAGTTATTTAAAATATATATACATTATTTTTGCGATAAATTGTTGCCAATCAGTCAACATTACATAAAGGACCGTGTTTTTTACAGAATGTTTCCTATAAATGGTTTAAGAGAAAAACATTGTTGAATTCAGTTCACCATATCGATACTTATCTTTGACTTTCTTAGACATCAGTGGGTCTTTTTGTGATTAAATAAACCTAAATTTGAACCCAGAAGGTCAAAAGAAAGGTCAGATTTGAGTTCCCGGGACTTGTAGATGATTTTTAAAAATAAATTGGTCAATTTGAAGCAATATGACCAATTTTTTTTACGTCAATTATCTCAAAAACGGTAAAAATTGAACGCAAACATATATTAAGCAATTTGTAGGGAATGCTTATCTAGTTACACTTTAATTCATTGCAAGAAATCATGAAATATGAAGACGAAATCTGAGAAACTTAAAAAACTCTGATTTGGGCCTAGATTTGGCCTTTGACCTTGACCTAGATAAAAATTCCTTCCCTGCCAAGTGCAGCTCAGGTCCTTAGTAGAAGCATATAAGAGTTATCTCAGACCTAGCTAGAAGTAGGAGAAAAGTGGTTAGGAGGAATAAATAAAAAAATAAATAAAGAATATCTATAAAAACTAGCTTGAAAATGAAAAAATGGGCACCAATAATAATAGGATACAATAGAGAATACTACAATCTATTGAGACAATATAACATACAATACAATATAAACGGTGCAGACGTAGGACCCCGATCCCTAGGGTTGGCTGTCCCACGGACACTGACCACCGGGGGACACTTAAATCTGTTACATTGCTCACATGTATTTCTGCATTTTGTTGCTACTTTGTAGCATACTCTTTCCGTACATAGTTTTAGGTCAAGCAGATATCGAAATGATTGCGATTAAAGCCGATTAAATTAGAGGAAAATGGAGTTAATCGGTAGTTATGCTCCTGTGTCACGGTGCTCTTCACCAGAGCCCACCGGTATCAGGGCCTGGGCACCTTTTGACTTGGAGAGCTCGACTTCGAGGAGTTTGCTGCATTTTCTTGTTTAGGAAATATTGGGCCCCCAAGCCCCTCACTTGCCCTCAGGCTACCCCCCCCCCCCCCTAACCGATACGAGCCTGAAGCCAATCAATTGCAAGTAGTGGCATAGGTGCATTATGCGCCTCTGGGCCTTCATTTATATATCTGAGATTTGTCTAGCTCTAGTGACCCTATAAAAACTCCGATAGTCAAAGAAGTCACTAGAGCCGTAGATCCACGTCTAGTAGTGGCAAAACTTGAAACGTCTGTATTTTATTCATAGATTTCATTTATAGATGTCATCCATGTTGTTACAAAGTTGTGACCTAATTTCTATTTTGAGATGAAAATAGTCCTCTGCTATTTATAAAATAACAACACTATTTTGTTTGGAAACATGTTACAGCCTCTAAGCTTCTTTGAGCGAGTGTTTAAAGTTTAGATATACCCCTAGGTTTTGAGAAATGTTGAGAAATTGTCCAGGTATTTGAAAGAATAGAAAAAGGAACAAGTATCTGCACCGCACTTTATTCTCAGCGGACTACATCGTAACCGGAAGTCGGTGTTCTTCGACATCATTTATTTTGGAAATATCAGCAACATTTTATTTCTTTTGAGATTAACACCTAAAACAGCGTAATAACGCCATTTAAAAGGAAGACAATACAAGAGATGAATTTCGCATCCTCACATGTCTTCCGTTATGACCATTCGGACGAAGAATGTGTGTCAGATGACGAATATGAACGTGGAATGACACTCAGGTCAGAACTAAATTTACATCATAAACGAAAGCGATTGAATCATATTCATGATCTAGCTGTTTATCATGATGAACAGGAACTTAGGCAGATAACAGCTTCTTCCACCAAAATAATAACTATATGGTCATAAAGTCTATGGCACGGGCCCAGACAAAGTATTGGTAAGCTGAATCATGGGCTCTACCACCAGTTTTCTGCATTCCTTATTTTGATGTTTATTCTCATGAAATATTTTTGCATATTTGGGTGACATATTCTGTCAAACAAAAAATGAGTGTGACTTCCATTTCTTCATTCCCTATATTCGTTCGACTTCACTTCTTAAAAGAGAGCTCCGTCTTCACTCTTTCAGTTTACAATAAATCTCTGATCTCACCAAGCCAATCAAAGATTGTCGTCGAAATCAGACGACTTTCTATATGGTCATTTCCTCTGACATCATGGCATAGTTAATGAGGAAGTATTTAACACATGTTCCTTCCACTTCACTGATTGGTTGAGAATGGGTCAGCGTGGTAGATTTGAAATGATTAATTACCCGGTCTGTCAAAGGAATCAATCTTTGGGAGGGCTGCTAAACTGTAATGTAGTCTATACTAGGCACTGTAGGCAGAGGGTAGTTTATAACTAGACTCTGTGCGCAGGGTAATTTCTTCAGCAAATGCGTGACAAATTTTTATTGCGGGGCAGTTAGTAGGCCTGCAATAGCATTTGATCAAGTACTGTAGTAGACTAGTGGAGGTTCTATCAAGGGACATGTTATGCAAAAGGCATGTTAAAAAAGAACCCTAGTATATGATTTTCAGATACACATGAGGAATCACATGTTTTTATAATACTGTATTTGTAGTGATAGTGATGACTCAGACAATGATGATGCAGTGTACACAAGAGTGCTTGGTAAGGCCCAATCCTCCCCTGCTACTAGTACTACTCCACCTGTCAAATCTCGTAAAGGCATCTTTGGAAAACTTTTCAGATCATCTAAAGGTAAAAGATTTTTTTACTAAGTTTTGCAATCGTTTCCATGTGTGAAATTGTATTTTATTGCGTTTGAGTCACGTAGTACGAATTAGCAAGAAAATGATTTCTATTTGGTCGTTTAACGTTATGAAAATAGAACGGTAATTGTGAATGCAGTATTACTGGGTGATCGGTGTATGTATTCGTGAATAAGATCACTTCGGCTTTAAGCGGCGAGATAAACGGACGTTAGTTACTACCAACTCAGAATCGTCACCTTGAAAATAATACGGCCATGCAGGCACAAGCCTACTGAAGGAATTCTCGGAAACAAATCCCAACAAACGGAAAATAAAATGAAGCTAAGAATAATCACTCTAAACAGAAAAACTTTCTATCAATTCAAAGAAAAAACAACATAATTTGGAAGAAAAATGGGCACAAACAACAGTACATAGACAACAAAGGAATTGACGAGAAAGCGGACCATACATTTGCAGAACAAACGGCCATTTGTATGAGGCATGCATAGTTTAGAAAAAGGGTAAGGAACTTTTGTCAGATTAAAATTGAAGTAATCATTTAAGAAGACCAGAGTGGGGCTGGTTGTGATACTTTGGCAGGATATCAAAAGCTAATTTATGAAGGTTACAAATAAATATAACAAATACAAAGAAACCTATATTATCATATCATTATCTGTAAGTTGAATAATCTTATTCAATGAATATAAGCGATAATTTTATGTAATCTATAATCTTTTAAGTAGATAAATAGATACCAATCAGTCAGTGAAAGTTTCAGGCAAGATGACCGCACAAACAATGATGGGGAAAATGAAGCAGACAAAGAAGCTCATCGATGGTTCAACAAAAAAAGGGGATTTATTACGGCTGCGGAATTATAGAAAGAGCTAACATAGCAGATATCTGGATGGCGCATTGTTAAATGGCATATATTGTATTTGGCCTATGCATGTTTTGTTGTCTTTGTAATAAAATGAGATTGAGTATATATGTTTGAAAAGTACAGATACTGGTTTTCAGTGGCTACCAAATCACTCAATGAAAAACGACAACTTGAGCATCCAGATTTAAGACAGCTTAAAGAGAAGCTTCCGGGTGTGATTTAGGCAGCAAAGCCACAAGCACAATAGGGTCATACAGCAGTGCTTTCGACAGACGGTCAACGTGGGTAAACAATTGCCCCGAAGTATGTATTTTATCAGCTAAGACATGATTTTTGAAAATCATTGACATTAGACAGTAGTGGAATCAGCCTAACGAACACTAGAGAAACCGACTTCTAATAAACACACATTTACAACATAATAATACAGTTTTTTATCAGATCACATGTTAATTCAGATTTGTTTAAAATTTGTGTTTACATTTATCATAGCTCTTGGTTTAGCAAGGTTTTCTCAGATTTGATGATATTTGTCATATTAGAAATTCAGACTGTTGTTTTATGACACTAATATTTGTATCAATATAAGATATTTAAAAACAGTATATAGGAAGGTAGCAAGTGCGTCATTGTAGCAACATGCTCAGATTTTTGTCCAGTAACTTTATAATATAAGATGATTTAAAAGAAGCAAACATAAGCAATGAAAATTCGTTTTTAGAGCAATTTTATATCACAAAATCATATGTGTTAAAGTTTAGTGATAAAGCTATAAGCTACACAAGGTGCAGATAATTTATTGTAAAGGCATTTAAGTCATGTGGTGACATGGTACGTTGTTTAGAACGCAATATTTAAGACCCCGCAAATGGCCGCAAAGAAAGGCATTTCAGATAGGAGACTGTTAAAGATGGTTTTATCCAGCACACGTTGTAAAAAAGGATTAAGTGTTTCAAAGAATTTAGGATTATAATTATAAAACCTGTATTTTAAGATTTTTGTATTTTAAGAATCTTACTCAACAGTTTAGGTAAATGTCTGTGCTTAATAATCAATATAATTTTCGCTTACTTTAACACTTCACGCAGCCGCAGAGCCACATGCTAGTAAATGTTATGTTTCTTAAGTGTGAGTTAGAATAGAAATGTATTTTATTGCGTTTGAGTCACGTAGTACGAATTAGCAAGAAAATGATTTCTATTTGGTCGTTTAACGTTATGAAAATAGAACGGTAATTGTGAATGCAGTATTACTGGGTGAACGGTGTATGTATTCGTGAATAAGATCACTTCGGCTTTAAGCGGCGAGATAAACTAAGTAAATGTCTTTAAAATATAATGAAAATTTTTCGGACAAACCTTTTTCCTTTAACCTCAATTGTTGAGGATTTCAAAGATTTTTAGCATCATGTTCTCAACAGAATAATAATGGGCATTAATGAGTGTGTGATGCTAAAGATAGAAAAGGTTTTACAGGTGGTCGGAAATTTTTTAATTTTGATAATGAGATTTGTTTTTACTACATTATCGAGTAAGCTAATCAATTGTCCATTATTAACATTTTTGTATATTTTCCAGCGGCGACGCAGCCGCAGAGCCACATTTTGGCAACCAGCATGTACATACGATAACATTATTGTACAAATAATACACTCGGTTTTTCTGCAACACGCAGCCGCAGAGCCACATGCTAGTAAATGTTATGTTTCTTAAGTGTGAGTTAGAATAGAATTATAGTTTCTAATATTATTGCATAATTTGCATGTTGTCAGTAATTCACATAAAATCTTAATTGACTTAATTGAATAAAAATATTGCAAAGACTCGAGAGGAATGACTCATGTCTAAACAAAGTGTAACAAGTCAGACTCGGACACAAAAGAAAGTCTGCAGAAGTGCTGCTAAATACTGCAGTGCTGTGTGAGAATCTTAGACTCAAAGTCTGCTACTCTATCAACTCCAGCCAACTAAGCTTAAAGCACAGCTGAAATAGGTTTTCTCAACTTGAAACTATAAAAATGCGGTTCTCAGCATTGTAAGCCCAATGTAGAGTTCTAGCGTTAACCATAATAAAATAAATGATAAATTACCGTTAAGAGTCTAGCAACAGTATTATAAAATAAACTGATCAGCCAGATTGGCCCCATGTGATCAGTGACGTCATATTAATTGATTTCTTGGTAATCACGATGTGACGATTGTTGTGTAAACAAATAACAAAACATATTGGAATTATGATAATAAGATTCAGTTGGGCCATGTGGGGGCAAGTGAAAAGTCACATTGGGGCCAACAGCATCACAAAACATTTAAATATTGCTTATATATATTTAACAGCTACCACATGTAGTAAAATGAAACAGTTGCCACATAACTGGTTAGATGACATGTCTAAATATATTCATTATTAAATAAAATCGGTTCCTTTAGGTTTAAATTACTATTTCAGTTGTCCTTTGAGCTAAGGAAGCTGACCTGTACAAGCATCTTTCTATCAGCGGTTCTTACAATATTAATATATTTTATGAATCACTTGTTGACTGTAATTTGTATTTGGCAATGTAGATGTACTGCTGTTACGACTGAGGCCCCAGGTTGAATTTTTCTGATATGATTATTGAAGACTATAATTGTTTTGTTGGAAAATTCTCAAATATTTTGAACCAGTAGGTTGTCTACAATAATACTGGTATTTATCAGGGTATAAATTGTGTTCATTTTATAAATGTAGGAGTTACATCCTCTGCTACATATGACAATGCTACTACTGATTCTGTTGGCAATGATGTAATACCAAATGATCCTATATATGATAACCCCTTGCAGTCTATATGATAAATTGTGTTTATTTTATAAATGTAGAAGCTACATCCTCTGCTATATATGATAATGCTACTACTGATGCTGTTGGCAATGATGCAATACCAAATGGTCCTATGTATGATAACCCCTTGCAGTCTATATGATGAATTGTGTTTATTTTATAAATGTAGGAGCTACATCCTCTGCTACATATGATAATGCTACTACTGATTCTGTTGGCAATGATGTAATACCAAATGATCCTATATATGATAACCCCTTGCAGTCTATATGATAAATTGTGTTTATTTTATAAATGTAGGAGCTACATCCTCTGCTACATATGATAATGCTACTACTGATTCTGTTGGCAATGATGTAATACCAAATGATCCTATGTATGATAACCCCTTGCAGTCTATATGATGAATTGTGTTTATTTTATAAATGTAGGAGCTACATCCTCTGCTACATATGATAATGCTACTACTGATTCTGTTGGCAATGATGCAGTTCCTAATGATCCTATGTATGATAACCCCTTGCAGTCTATATGATGAATTGTGTTTATTTTATAAATGTAGGAGCTACATCCTCTGCTACATATGATAATGCTACTACTGATTCTGTTGGCAATGATGCAGTTCCTAATGATCCTATGTATGATAACCCCACACCTAGTGATGCAGCTGTTGCAGTCTATGATAATCCCCCAAAGAAATACAAAAGAAAACCAACCAATCATTGGAGATCTGCATCATCTAACTCTGAAGGTAAACATGCAGTTTTTGTGATTTATGTTGTTGTATGACTTTTTAATTCATAACACAACAAATGTTAACGGTTTACCTGTTGGAGGGAATTTCAAAATGGCTGCCATTTTTCTTAAAAAAAGGAATGTTATCTAATCTTTGATGCAAATTGAGGGATATGGTTTACATTTTATATGTTGATGCCTTGTGACAAACGAGCTCTGTTCAAGAAGGAATTTTCAAAATGGCCACTAATAATCAAAATATCTTTTGTTTGGTGGGATTTCCGTGGAGTTGCTGTTTTTCTAGTTAAGATTGCAAGAGTCTTCACATACAATTAAACATGTCTGGTTCTACTCAATATTTTAATCATATGTACAGTCAATAAATCAAGTTGACTATCTCGTTTTTGCTTTTAATAGAGAAGCCCACTAAAGAATATGCCAAGAAATACCGCAGAGCTGATACCAATGTTGTTCAAGTCAAGTTTGATACGTTGGTAAAACCTAGCAATATGCACACTGGGGATGCCACGTATTGCTCCTGCGGGGCCCTACTATCTCATATCTCTAAGCTTAACAATAGAGAGAACTCAGATGAAAAGGTAACATTTCTTATAAATATAAATGTTATAAAGGTTAATGTATTGCTCCTGTGGGGCCTTACTATCTCATATCTCTTAGCTTAACAATAGAGAGAACTCAGATGAAAAGGTAACATTTCTTATAAATATAAATGTTATAAAGGTTAATGTATTGCTCCTGTGGGGCCTTACTATCTCATATCTCTAAGCTTAACAATAGAGAGAACTCAGATGAAAAGGTAACATTTCTTATGTTATACAGGTTGAGTAATTGTGAAAATTGCAAAATTGTATTCAAAATTGTATTTCCAATCAGTGGGATCTAGTGTGTTACCTTGCAGTGTTAAAAACAATTTTGTAGGGGAACATTATAAAATTAAGGGTTTCCCCATAAGCAGGTAAAAATATTTCCCAAATGCATTTTGTAGGGGAACATAATATAATTATGTGTTTCCCTATAAGCAGGTAAAATATTTCCCAAAATGCATTTCTTCAGAATCCATTTCTTGAAAACATTGTTACGCAGATTCGAGTTGTTTTCTAAGATTTGTTCTGTTCTCAAACCTTGACCACTTTCATCAATCTATGATTTTATCATGGATGAAGACAATTTTGGTGTGTCAATGGTACATGTACACCTGTCTAATGGTTAGGACTGAGACTATGATGATTCAAGGCCTACAAATGTATGATTCTTCAACCTACAGTTATACAATATGTACATGTCTAATTTATATATTTCTTATGATTAGGAGTGGAAATGTGAATTCTGTAACAAAGCCAATATTGTCGACATCATGGATGAGGAAATCCCATTAACCAATGACGTGACATATATGATTCAGCCCGCACCTGCTACGAGAGGATCTGGTTTGTCTGGGACAGATGAGTCTCTGGTAGTATTCTGTGTGGATACGTCTGGCAGTATGTGCATAACAACAGAGGTTAGTATAGAACAACAGAAGGTTAGTGTAGAACAACAGAGGTTAGTGTGGAACAACAGAGGTTAGTGTGGAACAACAGAGGTTAATGTGGAACAACAGAGGTTAGTATAGAACAACAGAAGGTTAGTGTAGAACAACAGAGGTTAGTGTGGAACAACAAAGGTTAGTGTGGAACAACAGAGGTTAGTGTGGAACAACAGAGGTTAGTGTGGAACAACAGAGGTTAGTATAGAACAACAGAAGGTTAGTGTAGAACAACAGAGGTTAGTGTGGAACAACAAAGGTTAGTGTGGAACAACAGAGGTTAGTGTGGAACAACAGAGGTTAGTGTGGAACAACAGAGGTTAGTATAGAACAACAGAAGGTTAGTGTAGAACAACAGAGGTTAGTGTGGAACAACAGAGGTTAGTGTGGAACAACAGAGGTTAGTGTGGAACAACAGAGGTTAGTGTGGAACAACAGAGGTTAGTATAGAACAACAGAAGGTTAGTGTAGAACAACAGAGGTTAGTGTGGAACAACAAAGGTTAGTGTGGAACAACAGAGGTTAGTGTGGAACAACAGAGGTTAGTGTGGAACAACAGAGGTTAGTATAGAACAACAGAAGGTTAGTGTAGAACAACAGAGGTTAGTGTGGAACAACAGAGGTTAGTGTGGAACAACAGAGGTTAGTGTGGAACAACAGAGGTTAGTATAGAACAACAGAAGGTTAGTGTAGAACAACAGAGGTTAGTGTGGAACAACAGAGGTTAGTGTGAAACAACAGAGGTTAGTGTGTAACAACAGAGGTTAGTGTAGAACAACAGAGGTTAGTTTATAGAAGCAGAGGTTAGTGTAGAACAACAGAGGCTGGTGTATAGCAACAGAGGTGAGTGTAGAACAACAGAGGTTTGTGTGTAGCGACAGAGGTTAGTGTGGAACAACAGAGGTTAGTGTGGAACAACAGAGGTTAGTGTGGAACAACAGAGGTTAGTATAGAACAACAGAAGGTTAGTGTAGAACAACAGAGGTTAGTGTGGAACAACAGAGGTTAGTGTGAAACAACAGAGGTTAGTGTGTAACAACAGAGGTTAGTGTAGAACAACAGAGGTTAGTGTGGAACAACAGAGGTTAGTGTAGAACAACAGAAGGTTAGTATAGAACAACAGAGGTTAGTGTGGAACAACAGAAGGTTAGTGTGGAACAACAGAGGTTAGTATAGAACAACAGAAGGTTAGTGTAGAACAACAGAGGTTAGTGTGGAACAACAGAGGTTAGTGTGAAACAACAGAGGTTAGTGTGTAACAACAGAGGTTAGTGTGGAACAACAGAGGTTAGTGTGGAACAATAGAGGTTAGTGTGGAACAACAGAGGTTAGTGTGGAACAACAGAGGTTAGTGTGGAACAACAGAGGTTAGTATAGAACAACAGAAGGTTAGTATAGAACAACAGAGGTTAGTGTGGAACAACAGAAGGTTAGTGTGGAACAACAGAGGTTAGTATAGAACAACAGAAGGTTAGTGTAGAACAACAGAGGTTAGTGTGGAACAACAGAGGTTAGTGTGGAACAACAGAGGTTAGTGTGGAACAACAGAGGTTAGTGTGGAACAACAGAGGTTAGTATAGAACAACAGAAGGTTAGTGTAGAACAACAGAGGTTAGTGTAGAACAACAGAGGTTAGTGTGGAACAACAGAGGCTAATGTGAAACAACAGAGGTTAGTGTGTAACAACAGAGGTTAGTGTAGAACAACAGAGGTTAGTTTATAGAAGCAGAGGTTAGTGTAGAACAACAGAGGCTGGTGTATAGCAACAGAGGTGAGTGTAGAACAACAGAGGTTTGTGTGTAGCGACAGAGGTTAGTGTGGAACAACAGAGCTTTGTGTGTAGCAACAGAGGTTAGTGTAGAACAACAGAGGTTAGTTTATAGAAGCAGAGGTTAGTTTATAGAAGCAGAGGTTAGTGTAGAACAACAGAGGCTGGTGTATAGCAACAGAGGTGAGTGTAGAACAACAGAGGTATGTGTGTAGCGACAGAGGTTAGTGTGGAATAACAGAGGATAGTATAGAACAACAGAAGGTTAGTATAGAACAACAGAAGGTTAGTGTAGAACAACAGAGGTTAGTGTGGAACAACAGAGGTTTGTGTGGAACAACAGAAGGTTAGTATAGAACAACAGAAGGTTAGTGTAGAACAACAGAGGTTAGTGTGGAACAACAGAGGTTAGTGTGGAACAACAGAGGTTAGTGTGGAACAACAGAGGTTAGTATAGAACAACAGAAGGTTAGTGTAGAACAACAGAGGTTAGTGTGGAACAACAGAAGGTTAGTGTGGAACAACAGAGGTTAGTTTATAGAATTGAAGCAGAGGTTAGTGTAGAACAACAGAGGCTGGTGTATAGCAACAGAGGTGAGTGTAGAACAACAGAGGTTTGTGTGTAGCAACAGAGGTGAGTGTAGAACAACAGAGGTTAGTTTATAGAAGCAGAGGTTAGTCTAGAACAACAGAGGCTGGTGTATAGCAGCAGAGGTGAGTGTAGAACAACAAAGGTTTGTGTGTAGCAACAGAGGTTAGTGTGGAACAACAGAAGTTAGTGTAGGGCAACAAAGGTTAGTGTGTAGCAACAGAGGTTAGTGTGAAACAACAGAGGTAAGTGTAGAACAACAGAAGTTAGTGTGTAGCAACAAAGGTTAATGTGGAACAACAGAAGTTAGTGTATATCAACAGAGTAAGCGCATAATAATAAAGGTCCCTGGTTAGCACATAAAAAATGATAGCTACTTAATTAATTGAGGTTTAATTGTTTTAGGTCCCAGGGAGATTCAACTTACGGGGAACAGAACGTAGACGGTTGGACAGAATGCAGTCTTTTAATGAAATGCGAGAAGATCAACATTTACCAGGTAAGGAACCATGGGCTTTTATGAGGATCATAAATAATGAAATAAATCAAAATTTTAAGGGGAGGGAAGAAGTAGCACATTAAAATTGTTCATAATTTTCAGGAGAGTGAAGAAATGTTACATATGTCTTCAGACTACAGGGTGTCCAGGCAGCAGATTAGATAAAATTATTATATTTCAGGGGAGAGAAGAAATGTTACGTATGTCTCTAGACTACAGGGTGTTCAAGCAGCAGTTGGACATCAACTAGATGACATGATGAAAGAATTCCCAACAAGAAGAGCAGCCTTAGTGACATTTGATAGTGAGGTAAATAAACAATCAATGCTTAAATAAGCAATCAACACTTAAATAATCTATCAACAATTAATTATCCAATTAACACTTGAATAACCTATCAACACTTAAATAATCTATCAAAACTTAAATATCCATTCAAATATTAAATAAGCAATCAACACCTAAATAATCTATCAACAATTAAATAACCATTCAACAATTAAATTACCAACAGTGAGATAACCAATCAATACTTGAACTACTCATCAACACTTTACTATCCAATCAACACTTGAATAACCTATCAATACTTAAATAACTTATCAACACTTGTGCTTGAAGGTGTGTGTCATCGGAGATGGCACTAATGAGCCTGTTACAATAGCTGGTGATAAACTCAGTAACAAAGAAGAACTCATCAAAATTGGAGCTGAAGCCCCCCTCCCTCAGCCAATCAAAGACTCCAAACACATTCTCTCCGATAAGATCTATCAGTGAGTATTCATTTATTTGATGTTTCAAATATTCCTTAAAGGAAAGGGTTTGCAGTACAATAAAGTGTGCGTGAATCACCTCTGTAAGTGGAACACCTCTATTATTATGTGAACTACTTTTAAAAGTCAAGTTACATATCTCTTAATTATCCCATCGAACGAAGTTCGGAGGGATATAGGGAACGCCTCCGTCCGTCCGTCCGTCCGTCCGTACGTACGTACGTACGTACGTCCGTCCGGGCAATAACTCAAATACCATTGGCCTGATTTTGTTCATATTTTGTACACATATACCCTATGGGTGTAGAAGTTCTGCTCGAAAGCCGATTTTCAAAATGGCCGCTCATTAAAATATGGCGGCCATTTTAGTGCCGATTTTACAGTAATTTAGGTGCATATGTAAAACTGTAATAGCAATATGTTTTAAATGTGGAAAATTATAAAGGACATTGATAAAGCTAGAAATGTAGATATTAAAGAAGCACATGGCAGCCATCTTGAAAAATGGAGGCCTTTACTCGTTATTTTACGTTTTTTGCTATAACTCAAGAAGTAGTTGAGCGATTTTGTTCATATTTGGTATGTGAATACTATAAGCATGGCTCACTGTCTAATGACATTTTTGGTAGGAGGCGGCCATTTCTCAAAATGGCGGCCATTTTGAAAAATGGCCGCCATTTTAACATATTTTACTTTAACTCAAAAAGTAGTGGAGCGATTTTGTTCATATTTGGTTTGTGAATACTATAAGCATGGCACACTGTCTAATGATACTTTTGGTAGAAAGTGGCCATTTTGAAAAATGGCCGCCATTTTAACGTATTTTACTATAACTCGAAAAGTAGTGGAGCAAATTTTTTCATATTTGTTATGTGAATAATATAAGCATGGCACACTGTCTAATGACACTTTTGGTAGAAGGTGAAAAATGGCCACCATTTTAACGTATTTAACTATAACTCGAAAAGTGGTGGAGCTATTTTTTTCATATTTGATATGTGGATACTATAAGCATGATACACTGTCTAATGACACTTTTGGTAGAAGGTGGCCATTTTGAAAAATGGCCGCCATTTAAACATATTTTACTCGGCCTTTACTCGTTATTTTACGATTTTTGCTGTAAGTTGAAAAGTAGTGGAGCGATTTTGTTCATATTTGGTATGTGAATACTATAAGCATGGCACACTGTCTAATGACACTTTTGGTAGAAGGCAGCCATTATGAAAATTGGCCACCATTTTAAAGTTTGCAATATATTTCGTTTGTAAAAATGCCAGCCATTTCTGTTCGATGGGATTCGCTACGCTTTGGCGTTGCCGTTGTTCTGGTTTAAACAAGTCCCTTTAAATGGAACATCTCCCATTTACCAAGTATAACACTATTATGAGGACATCAGAGGTGTTCCACTTACACAGGTTTAAACCTATTTAAGTCATTATTTTATGATGTGGAAAATGTTAACTTCTAACTTAGGCTTTTTTTATTTGATAATTTCAGACTAGAGGAAGGTGGAGCCACAGCGCTTGGTCCTGGCCTCCTATTGGCTGTTTCCATGGCAGGTCAATGTCCAGGGTCAAAGGTCATAATCTGCACAGATGGCAAAGCTAATGTTGGTTTAGGTTCTCTCCAGGCAAATTCTGAAACTGATGAGTTGCTTGAAACTGCACAGTTATTCTATGGAGAAGTTGCCCAACATGCTTTACTCAAAGGGTAAGCATTCTGTATTATCCTTAAGGTAGTTCTGCACTATCATAGAATATCACAGTTATTCATCAGGGAAGTTGCCCAACATGCTCTACTCAAAGGGTAAGCATTCTGTATTACCCTTAAGGTAGTTCTGCACTATCATAGAATATCACAGTTATTTAATGGGGAAGTTGCCTAACATGCTCTACTCAAAGGGTAAGCATTCTGTATTATCCTTAAGGTAATTCTACACTATCATATAATATCACAGTTATTCAATAGGGAAGTTGCCCAACATGCTCTACTCAAATGATAAGCATTCTTTATTACCCTTAAGGTTGTTCTGCACTATCATAGAATATCACAGTTATTCAATGGGGAAGTTGCCCAACATGCTCTACTAAAAGGGTAAGCATTCTTTATTACCCTTAAGGTAGTTCTTTTACTATCAAAGAATATCACAGTTATTCAATGGGGAAGTTGCCCAACATGCTCTACCCATTGGGTATGCATTTTGTTATACCTCTTAAGGTAGTTCTGAACTATCATAAAATATCACAGTTATTCAATTGGGAAGTTGCCCAACATGCTCTACTAAAAGGGTAAGCATTCTGTATTACCCTTAAGGTAGTTCTGAACTATCATACAATATCACAGTTATTCAATTGGGAAGTTGCCCAACATGCTCTACTTAAAGGGTAAGCATTCTTTATTACCCTTAAGGTAGTTCTGCACTATCATAGAATATCACAGTTATTCAACAGGGAAGTTGCCCAACATGCTCTACTCAAAGGGTAAGCATTCTTTATTACCCTTAAGGTTGTTCTGCACTATCATAGAATATCACAGTTATTCAATAGGGAAGTTGCCCAACATGCTCTACTAAAAGGGTAAGCATTCTTTATTGCCCTTAAGGTAGTTCTGCACTATCATAGAATATCACAGTTATTCAATGGGGAAGATGCCCAACATGCTCTACTCAAAAGGTAAACATTCTGTATTACCCTTAAGGTAGTTCTGCACTATCATAGAATATCACAGTTATTCAATTGGGAAGTTGCCCAACATGCTCTACCCATTGGGTATGCATTTTGTTATACCTCTTAAGGTAGTTCTGAACTATCATAGAATATCACAGTTATTCAATTGGGAAGTTGCCCAACATGCTCTACTAAAAGGGTAAGCATTCTGTATTACCCTTAAGGTAGTTCTGAACTATCATAGAATATCACAGTTGTTTAATGGGGAAGTTGCCCAACATGCTCTACTAAAAGGGTAAGCATTCTGTATTACCCTTAAGGTAGTTCTGCACTATCATAGAATATCACAGTTATTCAATGGGGAAGTTGCCAAACATGCTCTACTCAAAGGGTAAGCATTCTTTATTACCCTTAAGGTTGTTCTGCACTATCATAGAATATCACAGTTATTCAATAGGGAAGTTGCCCAACATGCTCTACTAAAAGGGTAAGCATTCTTTATTACCCTTAAGGAAGTTCTTTTACTATCAAAGAATATCACAGTTATTCAATGGGGAAGTTGCCCAACATGCTCTACCCATTGAGTATGCATTTTTTTATACCTCTTAAGGTAGTTCTGAACTATCATAGAATATCACAGTTATTTAATGGGGAAGTTGCCTAACATGCTCTACTCAAAGGGTAAGCATTCTGTATTACCCTTAAGGTAATTCTACACTATCATATAATATCACAGTTATTCAATGGGGAAGTTGCCCAACATGCTCTACCCAATGGGTATGCATTTTGTTGTACCTCTTAAGGTAGTTCTGCACTATCATAGAATATCACAGTTATTCAATGGGGAAGTTGCCCAACATGCTCTACTCAAAGGGCAAGCATTCTGTATTACCCTTAAGGTAGTTCTGCACTATCATAGAATATCACAGTTATTCAACGGGGAAGTTGCAAGCATTCTGTATTACTCTTAAGGTAGTTCTGCACTATCATAGAATATCACAGTTATTCAACGGGGAAGTTGCAAGCATTCTGTATTACTCTTAAGGTAGTTCTACACTATCATAGAATATCACAGTTATTCAACGGGGAAGTTGCAAGCATTCTGTATTACCCTTAAGGTAGTTCTGCACTATCATAGAATATCACAGTTATTCAACGGGGAAGTTGCAAGCATTCTGTATTACCCTTAAGGTAGTTCTACACTATCATAGAATATCACAGTTATTCAATGGGGAAGTTGCCCAACATGCTCTACTCAAAAGGTAAGCATTTATTTTTGGTTGAATAGAATCATTAATTTGCATGGCGTAACATTTGGAATCAAGATTTAATCTTTATTGCGGAGTCTCTGTATCTGTGATAAGCATAAAAGGAACTGACTGTAAAATGGTTGAATTTGGCAATGTGTCAGATCAGACTGGTGGCCAAGTTAACATTGTCGACCCTTTAAAGCTCATATTACATACAAATGTTTATTGCGGAGTCTCTGTATCTGTGATAAGCATAAAAGGAACTGACTGTAAAATGGTTGAATTTGGCAATGTGTCAGATCAGACTGGTGGCCAAGTTAACATTGGTGACCCTTTAAAGCTCATATTACATACAAATGTTTATTGCGGAGTCTCTGTATCTGTGATAAGCATCAAAGGAACTGACTGTAAAATGGTTGAATTGGGCAATGTGTCAGATCTGACTGGTGGCCAAGTTAATATTGTCGACCCCCTGAAACTCATATTACATATAAATCTTTATTGCAGAGTCTCTGTATCTGTGATAAGCATAAAAGGAACTGACTGTAAATGGTTGAATTTGGCAATGTGTCAGATCAGACTGGTGGCCAAGTTAATAGTGTTGACCCCCTGTAACTCATATTATTGATATTACATATAAATCTTTATTGCAGAGTCTCTGTATCTGTGATAAGCATCAAAGGAACTGACTGTAAAATGGTTGAATTTGGCAATGTGTCAGATCAGACTGGAGGCCAAGTTAATATTGTCAATCCCCTGAAAGTCATATTACATACAAATGTTTATTGCGGAGTCTCTGTATCTGTGATAAGCATAAAAGGAACTGACTGTAAAATGGTTGAATTTGGCAATGTGTCAGATCAGACTGGTGGCCAAGTTAACATTGTTGACCCCCTGAAACTCATATTACATATAAATCTTTATTGCAGAGTCTCTGTATCTGTGATAAGCATAAAAGGAACTGACTGTAAAATGGTTGAATTTGGCAATGTGTCAGATCAGACTGGTGGCCAAGTTAATATTGTTGACCCCCTGTAACTCATATTATTGATATTACATATAAATCTTTATTGCAGAGTCTCTGTATCTGTGATAAGCATAAAAGGAACTGACTGTAAAATGGTTGAATTTGGCAATGTGTCAGATCAGACTGGAGGCCAAGTTAACATTGTCAATCCCCTGAAAGTCATATTACATACAAATGTTTATTGCGGAGTCTCTGTATCTGTGATAAGCATAAAAGGAACTGACTGTAAAATGGTTGAATTTGGCAATGTGTCAGATCAGACTGGTGGCCAAGTTAACATTGGTGACCCCCTGAAACTCATATTACATATAAATCTTTATTGCAGAGTCTCTGTATCTGTGATAAGCATCAAAGGAACTGACTGTAAAATGGTTGAATTGGGCAATGTGTCAGATCAGACTGGAGGCCAAGTTAATATTGTCGACCCCCTGAAACTCACAGAAGAGTTTGGAAACATCTTAGCTGATCAGATTATTGCGACAAATGTCACTGCTACATTACTTCTACACAGAGGACTGTAAGTGTAACTTTTTTAACTCCTAAAAATATATTTTAATGAATGTCCAATTTTAGTCATTTTCAACATGAGACATTAGTTGAAATATTGAACATGTATCTCAAAAGTAGTACATGTATAAGATAACTAGTCACGTCCTTATGAAACTGCATATCATACACTGTATTAAAAGAATCAAAAATCAGAGATGGACCGTTGAGAAAAAGTGTTCTCAAAAATCCTAATGAAATTGTCCATTTGAGTTAATAACCATTTTTAATTTTTTTAGATATTTCCGTAATGAAGCATCAAAACAGAGCAAAACAGTTAGGCAAGTGGGCAATGTCACTCGTGATACGGAAATTACATTTGAATATGGAGTGAGAAGTAAACCACAATCCAATCAACCTGCTGCAACTGTAGCTGAAGGTAAAAATTCAACAATTTAGTAATTGAAAAGTGGAAAGTAAAAATCAAAGTTGAAGGTAAATAATAAAAGCTGATGTAAAAAAATAAACTTATTAAAGATAAAATTGTAAAACAAACAAGAGCATTTTTTAAATTTGGAGCTAATCTTTCGAAAAAAAGGCAATTTTGAAGAAAATTCTAATAGTTCAAAAATGATGCCTATTTTGAGACAAAACCCAAAATGCAAATTAAAGAAAAGATATAATGATTTGACTCCAGAGTACTATTTCACTCAAGTACCTTATGCACTTATATTTTCAGAGGAATCTATGGAGACTGACCAAGCAACACAAGAGGGCGCCACTGCAGCTCCTAGCAACAGTAACCAGAGTGCGGTCTTGGATGATGACCTCACTGAGCTACCATTCCAGCTCCAAATCAATTACACTGACACCAATGGTGCCCAAGCTCTTAGGGTTCTCTCTATGGTTAAACCAGTCACAAAGGACAGGAATGTTGCTGAAAAAAGTGAGTATGTATGTGGTATGTTCCTGAAATCTTTTACAAAGCAATATTTTTGCTGAAAAAAGTGATTATTATCTACAATGTTGTTGCTGAAAGGTGATGGAAACCTATAACAAATATTACAAAGAACATGAATGAAGAATGACTTAATTTAATGTCCATACGTTTACATGGTGACCTAATTATAGGCTTACAGTATAATAAGTCATGCTTGGTTGAGGCTGGGCAGAGTAATTAGGGAACCATACACAAATATTCCCAGCAGGCAACAGTTTTGGGTTAATTGAGTTGTCAAATGTACAGGTTTTACTATATGTGCAGTTCTTTAGATAAATAAACCATACTAAAGCTCAACGATTGAAATAGTTTACATTTTTGTCCATCGTCAGAATGCTTAATATTCTTGAATTGTTCACACATAACATGATTTTTATAAAACACTGAGAAACTGAAAGATCTCCTTATTTTGTAGATATGGATCTAAAGTTGCTTGGCCCAGATGTCAGTTAGGCTAGCCACAGAGGGGGAATATTCTAGGTCAAGACTTCACTCTTCTCTTGATTTTATAGATATGGATCTGAAGTTACTAGGAACCAATGCGGCCCAGATGTCAGTTAGGCTAGCCACAGAGGGGGAATATTCTAGGTCAAGACTTCACTCTTCTCTTTATTATTTTATAGATATGGATCTGAAGTTGCTTGGCCCAGATGTCAGCTAGGCTAGCCACAGAGGGGGAATATTCTAGGTCAAGACTTCACTCTTCTCTTGATTTTATAGATATGGATCTGAAGTTACTAGGAACCAATGTGGCCCAGATGTCAGCTAGGCTAGCCACAGAGGGGGAATATTCTAGGTCAAGACTTCACTCTTCTCTTTATTATTTTATAGATATGGATCTAAAGTTGCTTGGCCCAGGTGTCAGTTAGGCTAGACACAGAGGGAGAATATTCTAGGTCAAGACTTTACTCTTCTCTTGATTTTATAGATATGGATCTGAAGTTACTAGGAACCAATGCGGCCCAGATGTCAGCTAGGCTAGCCACAGAGGGAGAATAGTCCAGGACAAGATTTCACTCTTCTCTTGATTTTATAGATATGGATCTGAAGTAGCTAAGGGACCAATGCGGCCCAGATGTCAGCTAGGCTAGCCACAGAGGGGGAATATTCCAGGTCAAGACTTCACTCTTCTCTTGATTTTATAGATATGGATCTGAAGTTGCTTGGTACGAATGCGGCCCAGATGTCAGCTAGGCTAGCCACAGAGGGAGAATAGTCCAGGACAAGATTTCACTCTTCTCTTGATTTTATAGATATGGATCTGAAGTTGCTTGGTACGAATGCGGCCCAGATGTCAGCTAGGCTAGCCACAGAGGGGGAATATTCCAGGTCAAGACTTCACTCTTCTCTTGATTTTATAGATATGGATCTGAAGTTGCTTGGTACGAATGCGGCCCAGATGTCAGCTAGGCTAGCCACAGAGGGAGAATAGTCCAGGACAAGATTTCACTCTTCTCTTGATTTTATAGATATGGATCTGAAGTAGCTAAGGGACCAATGCGGCCCAGATGTCAGCTAGGCTAGCCACAGAGGGGGAATATTCCAGGTCAAGACTTCACTCTTCTTTTGATTTTATAGATATGGATCTGAAGTTACTAGGAACCAATGCGGCCCAGATGTCAGCTAGGCTAGCCACAGAGGGGGAATATTCCAGGTCAAGACTTCACTCTATGATGCATCAGCGACTTATGTCTAGAGCAACGTGAGTACACTTTAAACTTCATCATGACTTTTATCAAGAACTTTTGTCAAGTTGCCAGTGGCATTATAGGTGTCACTCAAATAAGAGTCCTAGATAAGTTTAAATAAAATTAATTAAGAAATTATCTGAATTAAGAGTATTTGGGGTTTTATATGGGACTGGTGTTCCTGCCTGTTCCTATAAGTTTCTGGGAATAAACATATCAACAAATCTTAAAGGTCAGATGTAGATCCTCACTGCTCATGAAACAAGGGCCAAAACCAGGATACAATATTTTGTGAGGCTAAAATCAAGATGTGAGGCAAATTTAACCTTGAGGAGGCATCTAACTATATTTAGATTGCATTTCCAAAGTTTTAATTGAGAAATGTCTAAAATGTCTTATGCCTAGATATGCCCATTGTAGCGCTCAAACATTAATGGAATCTGTGTTTTAGGAAGAAAGACAAATCATCGAGGGGTATTTACAAGGCTTGGTTTTCCCATGTGGCACCAATGGAAGAACACATTAACCGAGCACAAACAGTAAGAACATTATAGTTGTTATAGTGTATTGTATTCTATTTTATTGTCTGATCTCTAAAATGAGGCCCTCTGATTGTTCATTTCTTGTGCTGTACCATTAATCCCATACCAATACAAGGTGAAAGGACAGTCTCAGTTACAGTAGCAATACACATTGGTACAGGACAAGAACTGACAAATCAGCGGGCTTCATTTTACAGATCATATGATAGTGTTTTGTATTGTTTTATGTATTGTATTATATTGTATTGAATCCTTTATAATCATAATGCATGTGATAACTTTACATTTTTAATCAGTATTCCTGAAAATGTAATCAATCAAATTTTCAAGTTCCAAAGGGAAAGGACCAAAAGTTGTAATGGAACCTTACAAAAAAAAGTAAACTCCAAGTGTATACCAGTCAAATTAGAAATAAATTAGTTCATAGTTCATTTTGAAACTAAATAAAAAAAATCTATGTTGAATTTCATGTAATAGACCTTTTGTAGAGAAACGTTGTTGTATTGTAGAGTGAAAGAACGGCTTATGGAAGGTCATACAGTGATGATGAGGGGCCTGATGAACTTCATGTAATAGACCTTTTGTAGAGAAACGTTGTTGTATTGTAGAGTGAAAGAACGGCTTATGGAAGGTCATACAGTGATGATGAGGGGCCTGATGAAATTCATGTAATAGACCTTTTGTAGAGAAACGTTGTTGTATTGTAGAGTGAAAGAACGGCTTATGGAAGGTCATACAGTGATGATGAGGGGCCTGATGAAATTCATGTAATAGACCTTTTGTAGAGAAACGTTGTTGTATTGTAGAGTGAAAGGACGGCTTATGGAAGGTCATACAGTGATGATGAGGGGCCTGATGAAATTCATGTAATAGACCTTTTGTAGAGAAACGTTGTTGTATTGTAGAGTGAAAGGACGGCTTATGGAAGGTCATACAGTGATGATGAGGGGCCTGATGAAATTCATGTAATAGACCTTTTGTAGAGAAACGTTGTTGTATTGTAGAGTGAAAGGACGGCTTATGGAAGGTCATACAGTGATGATGAGGGGCCTGATGAAATTCATGTAATAGACCTTTTGTAGAGAAACGTTGTTGTATTGTAGAGTGAAAGAACGGCTTATGGAAGGTCATACAGTGATGATGAGGGGCCTGATGAAATTCATGTAATAGACCTTTTGTAGAGAAACGTTGTTGTATTGTAGAGTGAAAGAACGGCTTATGGAAGGTCATACAGTGATGATGAGGGGCCTGATGAAATTCATGTAATAGACCTTTTGTAGAGAAACGTTGTTGTATTGTAGAGTGAAAGGACGGCTTATGGAAGGTCATACAGTGATGATGAGGGGCCTGATGAAATTCATGTAATATACCTTTTGTAGAGAAACGTTGTTGTATTGTAGAGTGAAAGAACGGCTTATGGAAGGTCATACAGTGATGATGAGGGGCCTGATGAAATTCATGTAATAGACATTTTGTAGAGAAACGTTGTTGTATTGTAGAGTGAAAGAACGGCTTATGGAAGGTCATACAGTGATGATGAGGGGCCTGATGAAATTCATGTAATAGACCTTTTGTAGAGAAACGTTGTTGTATTGTAGAGTGAAAGAACGGCTTATGGAAGGTCATATAGTGATGATGAGGGACCTGATGAAATTCACGAGGAGGCAGACTGTGCTGATATGGTGGCGCCACCTAGTAAGGGTAACTCTGCCCCTCCACGGTCAAAGAAGAAGGCATTACTTGCAATGAAGGTAAGTGCTTTCATACCTGAAAAGTGATAAATGGATATATTATTCAATGCTTTATTGTACTAAAAATCCCTTTCGGGTGAGTGTACAGCAAATAAACATGATAAAATAAAACTAAAACTATACATACAATTACAATAACATACAATGCAAATTTTACATGGCATATAATGACAATATAATGTGATTGACTGATCATTAGATATATACCAACAACTACTATTAGCCTACACCTACATGTATATATTTATATTGATAATATAGTTGTTGATCTCTTTTCAATTATTTCATAAAGGTATTTTGCAAAGGTGATACACATGTTACCCTCAGCATTAAACATATAATTAGCCTTATATATATGTATTAACATTTTCTTGCCCTGATTGGTGTGGGCAGTTACATCCTGGCTTGCAGGTTTGTTCAAGACATATAACCTGTTCTTATTTCAGTCCAAGAGTCGGAGAGGAGAATGTTCAGATTCCATGGCAACAGTTATCTACCAAAACAAACAAATCTCCGCCAATAAGATGATGTCATCAAAAGATTAGAATGAAGTAATGAAAAACATGTCCGTACCTGGCCTCATTCCAACTCAGAGTTATATAAACAGACCATGGTTATTTTGATAATAATCAATTTAATTGAATAAAGTGCCAATCTGAGGAAATTTTTCCATTCAATTATTGATTACAATTGTGCAGTTTCTTAATCATAATGTTGCAATAGATATAATGCATGGTTTTCATTAACTTCAAAAATAAGGACTTTTCTCTGCTTTTTTTACCAAAATTACCTATTTCGAACCAGTTTCATGTTCCAATTATAATTTCCAATAATTTGCTTATTAATTTATTCAATTTGAATGGTATCTAAAAGAAACCTCGGGAAGAGCAGAAAAGATACATTTGAAATAAAAATCAATGTTAACATTTTATTAATTTTGATAACTGTTTGAACTACAGTGCAGGGTGTTTACTGTTTATTACTTATTTAAAGCCCCACTATACTTAATTTAGAAGAAAAAAATAATCATTGGAACATGTTACTCGCACACTTGCTCAAATATGAAACAAAGTTTGATTTGCTTTAATATTGAACCAAGAGAAAAAATAACTCACATAGAAAAAAGCATTTGAAGTTCAGAGATCATTAGTAGTGCATGCACATGCTAAACAAAGTGCATGTTTTAAATTACTTTTGCTTTAAAAGATGGTGACACTTCTATAAAAATGAATGTATCATGTAAAACAAACAACTTTGCCATCTTTTAATGACATTGATAAAAACTTGATATATAAGCTTGACAGATCGAAAATGTTTTTTTATTAATTATCGTAAGCTTTGATGTGGTCCTTTTGAGCTGGTGTTGGTGTCAAATGAAAGATAAGGTTCTTATCAATACATTGGACATTCTATACAATTCAAATGAAAGTCTTTATTTTGCCAAAAAACATTGAAAATACGCAAAGTGGTGCCTAGCAACTTCAGATCCATATCTATAAAAGTATCTGTAAAATAATAAAGAGAAGAATGAAGTATTGACCTAGAATATTTTCACTTATACATAATAATTTTTTTGTATATCATATAAAACATTCATCATACAGACACTAAGACTTCAAATGCTTACATTTACTATTTGCTTTTATATCCAATTTTTGTATATAATATTTTCAATAACATGAGTATCTTAGATTTAAGACGATATATTGTTAACACTACTGTACTCAACTACAGGTCATGTATACATGTACTCAACTACAGGTCATATATACATGTACTCAACTACAGGTCTTGTATACATGTACTCAACTACAGGTCATGTATACATGTACTTAACTAAAAGTCATGTATACATGTACTCAACTACAGGTCATGTATACATGCACTCAACTATAGGTCATGTATACAAATACTCAACTACAGGTCATGTATACATGTACTCAACTACAGGTCATATATACATGTACTCAACTACAGGTCATGTATACATGTACTCAACTACAGGTCATGTATGCATGTACTTAACTACAAATCATGTATACATGTACTCAACTGCAGGTCATGTATACATGTACTCAACTTCAGGTCATGTATACAAGTACTCAACTACAGGTCATGTATACATGTACTCAACTACAGGTCATACATACATGTACTCAACTACAGGTCATGTATACATGTACTCAACTACAGGTCATGTATACATGTACTTGACTACAAGTCATGTCTACATGTACTCAACTACAGGTCATGTATACATGTACTCAACTACAGGTCATGTATACAAGTACTCAACTACAGGTCATGTATACATGTACTCAACTACAGGTCATATATACATGTACTCAACTACAGGTCATGTATACATGTACTCAACTGCAGGTCATGTATACATGTACTTAACTACAGGTCATATATACATGTACTCAACTACAGGTCATGTATACATGTACTCAACTACAGGTCATGTATACATGTACTTAACTACAAGTCATGTCTACATGTACTCAACTACAGGTCATGTATACATGTACTCAACTACAGGTCATGTATACATGTACTTAACTACAAGTCATGTCTACATGTACTCAACTACAGGTCATATATACATGTACTCAACTACAAGTCATGTATACATGTACTCAACTACAGGTCATGTATACATGTACTCAACTATAGGTCATGTATACAGGTACTCAACTACAAGTCATGTATACATGTACTCAACTACATGTCATGTGTACATGTACTCAGCTACATGTCATGTATACATGTACTCAAATACATGTCATGTATACATGTACTCAACTACAGGTCATGTATACAAGTACTCCACTACAGGTCATGTATACATGTACTCAACTACAGGTCATGTATACATGTACTCAACTACAGGTCATAAATACATGTACTCAACTACAGGTCATGTATACAAGTACTTAACTACAAGTCATGTCTACATGTACTCAACTACAGGTCATATATACATGTACTCAACTACAGGTCATGTATATATGTACTCAACTACAGGTCATGTATACATGTACTCAACTACAAGTCATGTATACATGTACTCAACTACAGGTCATGTATACATGTACTCAACTATAGGTCATGTATACAAGTACTCAACTACAAGTCATGTGTACATGTACTCAACTACATGTCATGTATACATGTACTCAGCTACATGTCATGTATACATGTACTCAACTACAGGTCATGTATACATGTACTCAACTACAGGTCATGTATACATGTACTCAACTATAGGTCATGTATACAAGTACTCAACTACAGGTCATGTATACATGTACTCAACTACATGTCATGTATACATGTACTCAACTACAGGTCATGTATACAAGTACTCCACTACAGGTCATGTATACATGTACTCAACTACAGGTCATGTATACATGTACTCAACTACAAGTCATAAATACATGTACTCAACAACAGGTCATGTATACAAGTACTTAACTACAAGTCATGTCTACATGTACTCAACTACAGGTCATATATTCATGTACTCAACTACAGGTCATATATACATGTCCTCAACTACAGGTCATGTATACATGTACTCAACTACAGGTCATGTATACATGTACTTAATTACAAGTCATGTCTACATGTACTCAACTACAGGTCATATATACATGTACTCAACTACAGGTCATGTATATATGTACTCAACTACAGGTGATGTATACATGTACTTAACTACAAGTCATGTATACATGTACTCAACTACAGGTGATGTATACAAGTACTCAACTACAAGTCATGTATACATGTACTCAACGACATGTCATGTATACATGTACTCAGCTACATGTCATGTATACATGTACTCAACTACAGGTCATGTATACATGTACTCAACTACATGTCATGTATACATGTACTCAACTACAGGTCATGTATACAAGTATTCAACTACAGGTCATGTATACATGTACTCAACTACATGTCATGTATACATGTACTCAACTACAGGTCATGTATACAAGTACTCAACTACAGGTCATGTATACAAGTACTCAACTACAAGTCATGTAAATAAGTACTCAACTACACATGTGCAATTGATGAGAAAGTGTAGGATGTACATACAGCATAGGCTTGCATCCATTGCATACATAAGTTTATGTATTACACTATTTTATATACAGATATAAGTATGGGAGTACACATATATTAATAATATGATTGAATAGGTACATGTATGTGTGTTTAATAGGACTGCAGTAAATTGTCATATTCAGAACCTTGTCTTAGATTTTGGTAACAATATCTTCCATTTTGCACTGGAAACATTTGGCTGGACCAGAATGTTTTGATTTGGGCTTAATGGATATTTTGAAAACCATATTTCAAGAAACTGGAATAGAAGTCTAAAATTGAATGGCAGTCTTATATATACTCTTTAGGTGTTAAAAGATGATCACTGTTCTGAATATGGATCCACCCAATGAAAAAAAAAACAGTTAAGCATTGTATTATATTATATCCACAGTGAAACCTGTATAACACCTCTGGAATATGAACTTCTCTCAATGTCAACACTTTTTACATCTGTTTCTTATTCTGCAACAGACTTCCTTGTTAAAAACCTTGAGGTGTTACACTTTTAGCGGATGTCACTAGTGTTTGGAATATAATGGTTTCGCTGTACATGTAAAAAACATCTAGACTAGTTAGCTTTGTATTCTTCATATATTACCCAAGACTGTTAAAGATTCCTTTTTATTGATTAATATTCTAGTATATAATCAGATTTTCATATTTCATTATATTGTTATTTTTACGAGGCTGTTATTGATAATGTAAAATATATATTAAAGAAATTATATTGTCTATTGTTCATTCTTTGATTCGCCAAAACTCTTGAATATCAAGAATTGCAAAAATTATTATATTGAACTTCTTATGGGGGCATAACATGCCAATTGACGTTTCATGGGAGTTTGTATATGAACCAAATGCCATTTACTTATGGGGGCATAATATGTCTATTGACATTTCATAGGAGTTTTTATATGAGCCAATGCCATCTACTTATGTGGGCATAACATGTCAATTGACATTTCATGGGAGTTTTTATATGAACCAAATGCCATTTACTTATGGGGGCATAATATGTCTATTGACATTTCATAGGAGTTTATATATGAACCAAATGCCATTTACTTATGGGGACGTAACATGTCAATTGGCATTTCATGAATTTTTTAGAAACAACTTACAACTACTTATGGTGGCATAACATTTTCTGTAATTCTGATTAATTTTAATTCTGATTGGTTATCTGAATTTTCATTGAACTACATGTAATATTCATTCTATTTCAAAGGATAATCTCAGTGCAGACGCAATCTATATTTTGAAAAGAGTAAATCAGTGCTGATTAATCCCATGTCTCATAAACAAAGGCTGACTTTGCCCTCACCTCAGCTCTAAAAGTCAAAAAATAGTTCAAAGTTTCTTGACATCATTAACGTGATACTCTGTGAGACTTAATGACTTGATATAATTGACCTATAATACATATTAATTATATGTTATCAATCTAAAGAAATAATGGGGTCACTTGTTTTAGTTTATGCTGTTTACATTTAAGACTGACTTTTGTTTTGTTTTTAATCAGTTTGTCCTTATATATCTTTGGGGACCATATCAGCAATTCAAGAAAACAAACAAATTAATTAAAAAACAAGTATGAAAGAATTATCCATTTATTCTTCAAAGAGATCTTGTAATTACGTGCTGGCGGACCCAGAATCCAACAAGAGGGATGCCCACATTTCAAATGCTTGCGCGAAAAAATGTTATGATAATTTGAACTTAAAAAACCATGTAATCAAAAATCAAAAAGGCCCCCTTATTGAGGCCCTACACAATTTTCTCTCTGACTCCACCCAAGGGGGAGGGGTATGGGCCCCTTGGACCCGCCAGTGTTACATATGGGGGGGGGTTGACTCTTAACAGTAAAGCAGTTATACTGTCCTCATTAGAATGAACTTTTCATTATTGCTGTCGTTCTTTCCATTAAATATTTATCGGTAATTCATAATATTTTAATACTGAAACATAATTGGTTTGAAATATGTGATTTCTCAGTTGGTTGAGTTGGGTTCAGTTTTCCTCAAATATTCATCGTCAAATTTTGAATCTTCCCTCTAAATTATTTGTTTTACAATTCATGAGACACTCCCTTTCAATTAGTGTATAAAAGAACATGTCCCCCATTTAAACATTACATCTACATTAGCAATTGGAAAGAGTCCACAATGAAGGCTGTCATAATCTTAATGTTAATTGGTGCTGTATCAGGTAAGAATGTTTCTGTATCATTGTGATTATTCTTATATTTCTCATCTTTTTGAAGCAATTGTTTTGTTAGGCCTATAGAACTTCAAGCTAAATACTTAAGTTTTTGAAATGGTTGTCTTGGATATGTCTTCATAACCCAAGTATAATTTCAATGAAAATTGTATTTGATGTAACATTGACTCGCATTCGATTACTGAGACTCAGTTCTTATATATGATCTAAGACTTATATTATAATATTAAACAGAAGCTTGTATTTATGAGTGTTTAATTTCAAGGAATATAATCTTTTGATTGTGAATATTATATACATTTTATATAAATAATATGGATACTAACTTTGACATTACAGCTTGGGGGTGGGGCGAGAAATTTAAAACCGGGGAGGGAAAGATGCAGGCAGATTCTCCCAGGGACCGCCCCAGTGGCAGTAGCCATCACTTCTACTATGGAGATGTGCACCATCACCATGAAGGACACGATCATAGCTCATCACACGAATCCAAATCAAGTGAAGAGGACGATGATGAAGAAAAACCTATTTACTATTTTTGTGTTGGAGATGATTTTGGCCCATATGAACACATGTAAGAACACACTGTATTGTTTCTATGAAAGTGTGTAGAAATATCTCCTGTTGACGTGAACATATACAGTGTACATAAGCATTGCACTTGAATATACATTGCTCCATTGTTTTACTTAAATTTTCCAGAGTCGGGTCATATCACAGGGTTCCACATGTGACTTGTGCATATACTGTATACAGGGCGTCCCGAAAGTATGGGCCCCCCCCCCCTAGGCAGACATATTCCAGTGTCCTCATAGTATGTCTCATATATCATTTTAAAGCTTATCCAAAGTTACATTGATTTGCCAAGTATCATGGTTTAACTCCCAAGTGGGAAAAAGTTACAGTCATTTTAAAAGTTAGTGTTTTGTCAAAATAAAGTCCAATTTTACTCCACATTACTAGTCAATGAGTCCCCCTTGGCCATGTTAACAGCACCAATTATTTTCAGATATGACCTTAAAAGCCCTTCAAATAGGGGTGTGGAATTTTATAACCCTCTTAAAACCTGTTAAGGCACTTTAGAAGAGTTTCCTTAGAGTTTCTACCCTCACCATTCTCTTTTTCCAACTCAATATCCATCCGACCCGAAAAGAATTGCTGCTGTTACAATGGCCCGGAAGGACACATTGACTAGTGATTTGGTGTAAAATTGAACTTCATTTTGACCAAACACTAAATTTTCAAATGCCTGTAATTTTTTCACATTTGAGAGTTGAACCATGATACTTGGTGAATCAATGTAACTTTGTGTGAGCTTTAAAATGATATATGATACATACTATGACGACACTGGTATATGTCTGCCTAGGGGGGGCCCCATACTTTCGGGACACCCTGTATATTGCACCTTATTATTATTTTATTATATCTTGGTTACCGCCATATTTGGCGAGCAATACCTCATTGGTATATTCCGTATTTTACGTATTTTACACTCGAAGATAGAGCCAGAAACCCCTCCTTGGAGGAGCCCTGTTTTCTTTTATGTGCACAGGTACACAGACATACAGGTACACACCACAGCCTTTTATACGAGTCGTGAACCACTCAGTCAAACACCCAGAATTACATAACGCACAAAAAAACTTGTCTGAACCGGGAATCGAACCCGGGGCCAAGCGACATTGGTAGCCTTGACTCTCTCTGCCACTGAGCCATAGCGGGTATTAGTTTATCATTGCACTTTTGTTTTATTGCAGTTCTCCAGAGACAGGTCGTATCACAGGGTTCCATATAGATCTCATGAATGCATGTAAGTTAAAATATTTTTTAACTTATGGCCTAGTCACATAGCCCGGCCGATGAGGTTACGATGAGCCAGCGATGCAATTTTCACCGAACTTGGCCGAACACCGGCCGGACACCGGCCGGACATCCGTGGCGTTTGTTGCTTAAAACCGCATCGGTGGTAGCTCGGTGAAATTTAACTTCGAAGTCCGGCCGATGTTGGACAGAGCATCGGCCGGTCACTGTTCAAAGCCCGTTAACAACCCGGCCGGCGATCGCACGGTGTCCTGTTACCTGCTCGGATACCGGCCGTATTCCTTCCGATGTCCGGCCGACCTCTGGCCGGTAGTTGCTGCCACATCGGTAGAAAAAACTACCATTTTGAGACAGACTCGCCTGAAGATGTCCGGACGGAGTCCGTTCACGTCACCGAGCTCTGCTTCCGATGAGGAGAGCTCGGTGGCACCAAAAAAATCCACCAAGCTCTACCGATGCCGGACATCGGCCGGGCTATGTGACTAGGCCATTAGTGTGTAGAAAATATATATGATTATTTTTTCATGACAATACTGCATTTAAGAGTTGTTTAATACATGGCATTTTGAAGATTTTGATGTAAATTCTGGAATAATTTTTAAACTGAACATATTTGATTTTTATGTCACCACCAAAAGTGGTGACATATTGTTATGGTCTCAGTTTTTTTTATGTCACCACCAAAAGTGGTGACATATTGTTATGGTCTCAGTTTTTTTGCGACGGCGGTTGGTGGTTGGCGTACGGCGTCTGGCGTCCGGCGTCTGTAACAATTTCTTACAACTTCCTATAACTTAACAAATACTGTTTAGACTGACTTCAATTTTTTTCTAAATCATCTACATGTTCTCAGAAGTTCAAATCTGACTTTAGATTTGACATTTGACTTTCAATGACCTTCTCAAGGTCAAAAAGGTCTTTTTTCAACTTGCTTCACATTGACTAAATTTTTTTTCAAAATCATCTCCATGTTCTCAGAAATTCAAATCTGACTTTAGATTTGACATTTGACCTTCAAATCTGACTTTAGATTTGACATTTGACCTTCAATGACCTTCTCAAGGTCAAAAAAGGTCAAAAAGGTCTGTTTTCAACTTGCTTCAAATTGACTAAATTTTTTTTTCAAAATCATCTACGTGTTCTCAGAAATTCAAATCTGACTTAAGATTTGACTTAAGATTTGACATTTGACCTTCAATGACCTTCTCAATGTCAAAAAAGGTCAAAAAGGTCTATTTTCAACTTGCTTCAAATTGACTAAATTTTTTTTTCAAAATCATCTACATGTTCTCAGAAATTCAAATATGACTTTAGATTTGACATTTGACCTTCAATGACCTTCTCAAAGTCAAAAAGGTCAAAAAGGTCTTTTTTCAACTTGCTTCAAATTGACTAAATTTTTTTTTCAAAATCATCTACATGTTCTCAGAAATTCAAATATGACTTTAGATTTGACATTTGACCTTCAATGACCTTCTCAAGGTCAAAAAAGGTCAAAAAGGTCTTTTTTCAACTTGCTTCAAATTGACTAATTTTTTTTTCAAAATCATCTACATGTTCTCAGAAATTCAAATCTGACTTTAGATTTGACATTTGACCTTTAATGACCTTCTCAAGGTCAAAAAAGGTATGTTTTCAACTTGCTTCAAATTGACCTAATTTTTTTTTCAAAATCATCTACATCTTTTCAGAAGTTCAAATTTGACTTTACAAGTTCTCAGAAGTTCAAATCTGTCTTTAGATTTGACCTTTGACTTTCAATGACCTTCTCAAGGTCAAAAAGGTCTTTTTTCAACTTGCTTCAAATTGACTAATTTTTTTTTCAAAATCATCTACATGTTCTCAGAAGTTCTTCTTAAGGTCAAAAGGTATTTTCCAACTTGCTTTAAATTGACCAAATTGTTTTAGGTGGTGACATTTTGTCATGTTAATGCCTTGTGTGAATTTGCGATGAGTGTGCGATAAGGCTGATTTAAAGTGTCACTATGTCATAATTTCAATATGTTTCAGTGTGCAATGAGGCTGATTTAAAGTGTTACTATGTCGTAATTTCAATACGTTTGTGCAATGAGGCTGATTTAAAGTGTTACTATGTCATAATTTCAATATGTTTCAGTGTGCAATGAGGCTGATTTAAAGTGTTACTATGTCATAATTTCAATATGTTTCAGTGTGCAATGAGGCTGATTTAAAGTGTTACTATGTCATAATTTCAATACGTTTCAGTGTGCGATGAGGTTGATTTAAAGTGTTACGATGTCGTAATTTCAATACGTTTCAGTGTGCGATGAGGTTGATTTAAAGTGTTACGATGTCGTTATTACAATACGTTTCAGTGTGCGATGAGGTTGATTTAAAGTGTTACTTTGTCATAATTTCAATATGTTTCAGTGTGCAATGAGGCTGATTTAAAGTGTTACTTTGTCATAATTTCAATATGTTTCAGTGTGCGATGAGGCTGATTTAAAGTGTTACTATGTCATAATTTCAATACGTTTCAGTGTGCGATGAGGCTGATTTAAAGTGTTACTATGTCATAATTTCAATACGTTTCAGTGTGCGATGAGGTTGATTTAAAGTGTTACGATGTCGTAATTTCAATACGTTTCAGTGTGCGATGAGGTTGATTTAAAGTGTTACGATGTCGTAATTTCAATACGTTTCAGTGTGCGATGAGGCTGATTTAAAGTGTTACTATGTCATAATTTCAATATGTTTCAGTGTGCGATGAGGCTGATTTAAAGTGTCACTATGTCAAAATTTCAATATGTTTCAGTGTGCGATGAGGCTGATTTAAAGTGTTACTATGTCATAATTGCAATATGTTTCAGTGTTCGATGAGGCTGATTTAAAGTGTCACTATGTCATAATTTCAATATGTTTCATCGTGCGATGAGGCTGATTTAAAGTGTCACTATGTCATAATTTCAATATGTTTCAGTGTGCGATGAGGCTGATTTAAAGTGTTACTATGTCATAATTTCAATATGTGTCAGTGTGCGATGAGGCTGATTTAAACTGTCACTATGTCATAATTTCAATACTTTTCAGTGTGCGATGAGGCTGATTTAAAGTGTTACTATGTCGTCATTTCAATATGTTTCAGTGTGCGATGAGGCTGATTTAAAGTGTTACTATGTCATGGATCGCTATGCCAACTGTTGGGAAACTGAAGGAGATGTGGAATTCCCTGGAAAAGGTTTGTACATATGGATTTCTACTTTGGAATAAAGAATAAAGAATCATGCATTAACCAACCACAATTGATTGCATTTAGTACTAGCTGATATTACACTGCCTGTATTATATTGTTCACCCTTCTTATTTGGTTCTAGTATTTCTTGATGATTACTACTCCGCATGTATTGGCTACTGGCCTTATCAGTACTACCTGATATTACACTGCCTGTATTATATTGTTCACCCTTCTTATTTTGTTCTAGGGCTTCTTGATGATTACTACTCCGCATGTATTGGCTACTGGCCTTATCAGTACTACCTGATATTACACTGCCTGTATTATATTGTTCACCCTTCTTATTTGGTTCAAGGGCTTCTTGATGATTACTACTCCGCATGTATTGGCTACTGGCCTTATCAGTGCTACCTGATATTACATTTCCTGTATTATATTGTTCACCCTTCTTATTTGGTTCTAGGGCTTCTTGATGATTACTACTCTGCATGTATTGGCTACTGGCCTTATCCTCGCAGATTCAACAGTTTCAACTTCACACTTTCATTCGCAAAGGCAGATAATGCCAATGCTTTCTGGCTGAAGAGTCGAAATGACGAATTCAAAGAGGATGATGTAAAGGGATTAAAAATAGGTAAGATATTTTTATTTCCTTTTTCCTGTTGGAGTCAAAATTTATATGGCCAATCTATTTCTGATTTTAAATATAACAAGATGCATTTTTATCCCAAAATTTGTTCATGAGAACCTATTTCAGTTGAAAAGATTTATGCAAAGTCATTTATTACATTTGTTTATCGCTTATAACTTCTTATAAGTTCAGACAACTAAATTCTAGCTTGAAATGTTGTGATCAAGATTCAAATGTGTATTTGTGAGGGAGTTGTTTCAACTGCCCCATGGCATGCCTGCTTCATACCTAGTCTCATGGATAACATAACATATGTAAAAATGACCTACTTTATTTCTTGACATGGTGTGGCAAAACACAACCATAGTAAAGTATGAGTTCTACATATTTTTTGCTAAGTCATACTGTATGCTTAGAAGGTTACTTTAATCTAAGTTTAAGTTCAACACTGCATGTAATACTAGTAATTAAATTCTAAAATATGTTTACATGTAATAGTCAAATCTAAGTAATATTCTAGTGCTGTATTTGCACTTTATCATTAGATTTGAAGGTCACTTTTGCAGAAATATAAGTTCAACAGTAATTACTGTCAAATGCTAACCTATGCGTACATAGCGTAATATAAATGAGTACAATGTGTAAGAGCAGTCTGTCAAGCATTTGTAAACTCTCAATCAGATGTTTTATATTTGTTATGGGATAATCCCTATATCCTGAATCCCATACAGAATCATTATGTATTTTATATGACATTGTGTACTTTATGTTGTATATGGTATGTTGCGACAAAAGTTATCATTCAACTTGTCTCTATGCTTTGGAGCCCATTTAATCACTAAATATTATTGTCTGCAGGTTTCATCAGTGGTTGGTCTGTTAGCAAACAATGTCTGACTAGAGAGACTAGAAAATGATGTGAATGACTTCTCATCAGTTTTCTTTGAGAGATAACTCGTTTCTATTCTTTTGTGCCCCTTTAATCACTATATATTGTTTGCAGGTTTCATCAGTGGTTGGTCTGTTAGCAAGCAATGTCTGGCTAGAGAAACTGGAAATGATGTAAATGACTTCACTTCAGTTTTCTTTGAGAGTTACAAAGATATGGTTGTTGCATTGCGCGATCAAAAGGTTTGTCTCCTAGCTTAACTCCAATAGTGTGAAAATGAACAAGTAGATATATTATGTTTTTGTGGTATTATGATCTAAAATTTCCTTCAAGGGGAGTTCAAATCAGTTGTTTGGTTTGCATTTTATATAAAGGGCATTTGCGTTCTTTTTGTTTTTAGATAGATTTAATGTTGGGGAGCAGGGACACGTTTGTTGCACCAGATGACATTCATGTTGGTTCTAGCTTTGACTGCAGCTGGAATAACAGAGGTGAGTCCCTTTAACTTTATTCTATATACTGGATAGATGCCTTTAACTCATATTAGAGTACGAGCAGATTACGTTTAACTCTACTCTTTATACACAGCCAATATAATTCGGCACTGTTTCGGCATCGAAAAATTCGGCGCTGTTCCGGCACCGTTTCAGCACCGAAACCTTTCGACACCAAAATTTGCTACCGGACTAGTCAGTCCATTTGGTGCCGAAACGGCACTGAAGTTTGGCACCGAAACGGTGTCGAAAATCAGATTGCATTTTGGGGGTGTACATGTACATGTTTAGTCCATTTAACTCTTGTCAATTAACAAAGTAAGTCCCTTTTACCGTAGTCTATATACTAGTTGAGTCCCTTTAATCCTAGTCTATATACTAGTTGAGTCCCTTTAATCCTAGTCTATATACTAGATGAGTCCCTTTAATCCTAGTCTATATACTAGTTGAGGCCCTTTAACCCCAGTCTATAAACTAGTACTAGGTGATTCATGATTTATAAAATACATAAAATATAAACTTTTTAAATATTTTCTTCTCTATTAGAGCCTCAGCATTTATAATGAGCGCACAAAACCCATGCACTCTCAAAATATGATTTTTTCTTTAATTTCATGTAGGTCCAGCATTTATGCTGAAGGTGGGAAATCCATTAATAAAGAAGCTTAACAAGGCACTGAGTAATATAATCGATGACGGCTCTTATGGTAAACTCTGCGAGGAGGCCAACAAGCAATATTGTAAGAAACATCAAAATAAATTTATTTGCTCTAAAATCCTTAAATAACATAATTACCATTATTTGAATAAAAGTTTCTCAAAAATTATCATTTCAAATCATATTTCTGGATTCCAAAATTAAAGTGATAAAGTTCATGTTTGTAAGCTCAAACAAGTTTCTATCAAAAGTCTCTTAATACCAATATTCATTGAAAATTAGCTTTAAACAGTCTACAGCCCCATCCTCCTCAGAATCAGCGATATGTTCATGAGCAAGACAGTGACATCACTTTAATGAATATTACAAATACATTATTTAAATTAAATATCTGATTTCATTTGATACCCACATTTTGAATTGATTTTGTCCTAAACAGAAAATAAAATTTGTTTAACATGTAAACTTTGATTTTTATATTAAAATTCTTTATTAATTGTATTGGTTTAATAATACAGAAAATTAAGCATTTTTTTAGCATTATTTAAAATGTATAAATTTGTTTTTCAGCTAGCCGTGGTGAAATTCGGTGCTTGGATTAGGTTGGATTGGTCACATGTAATATAATGGGATACATCAACATAGTATAAACATTTGCATTCATCACAGTTAACTAAGAGACTGACAGCTAGATGCCTTACATGCATGGCAACAATACTTTTAGACTTCACATTTATCCAGTCTTCTCTTCTATCCACTTTACACAGAGAAAGTCTTAATACTGACAATTAGGAATCAGATCAAAGAACTGAAAATTGTTTAACATCCCCCTTTTAAGAACTGGGCTATTCCTGAAGTCACCAAAAGTCCCCTTTCCATTCTGCCAATGTAACACTTCCCTTTTCACATTATAGCATTGAACAATTTATATTGTATATCTTTTATATTATTATATTTTTGTAATTAGCATAACGATCTTAAGAAGTTTATTTCTTTTCAAATTCATACTTTTGTAACAATCCATTAGCATTTATATTTTCATACAACATATCCATTATCCAACCCGAAGTATTATCTATTTTAGCATTTTCCTACGTTTTGATGTTTCACCTAAAATGCTTATTTCAACAAAAGCACTTTAAGGTTACATATGTATTTTGATTAAAATAAAAATAAACTTAATTATATATATGAGTTTTATAATTTTTGTATCTGAATAATACACATGTGGTGTTCCAAACACCAATATACACAAGTGGTGTTCCAAACACCAATATACACAAGTGGTGTTCCAAACACCAATATACACAAGTGGTGTTCCAAACACCAATATACACAAGTGGTGTTCCAAACATCAATATACACAAGTGGTGTTCCAAACACCAATATACACAAGTGGTGTTCCAAACACCAATATACACAAGTGGTGTTCCATTATGGAACTATGAACCATGAATGACATACATTTGAACAAATAGCAATTACTCATTCATAGACCATTCAAGAACATCAATTCAATATTCCATCTCATATTTATATTGGAACTATGTATGGCATACATTTGAACAAATAGCAATTACTCATTCATAGACCATTCAAGAACACTAATTCAATATTCCATCTCATATTTATAATGGAACTATGTATGGCATACATTTGAACAAATAGCAATTACTCATTCATAGACCATTCAAGAACACTAATTCAATATTCCATCTCATATTTATATTGGAACTATGTATGGCATACATTTGAACAAATAGCAATTACTCATTCATAGACCATTCAAGAACACTAATTCAATATTCCATCTCATATTTTATATTGGAACTCTGTATGACATACATTTGAACAAATAGCAATTACTCAATCATAGACCATTCTAGAACATTAATTCAATATTCCATCTCATATTTATAAAGGAGCTATGTATGGCATACATTTGAACAAATAGCAATTCATAGACCATTCAACATCAATGCAATATTCCATCTCATATTTATTATGGAACTATGAACTATGAATGACATACATTTGAACAAATAGCAATTACTCATTCATAGACCATTCAAGAACATTAATTCAATATTCCATCTCATATTAATGGAACTATGTATGACATACATTTGAACAAATAGCAATTACTCATTCGTAGACCATTCAAGAACATTAATTCAATATTCCATCTCATATTTACAATGGAACTATGTATGGCAAACATTTGAACAAATAGCAATTACTCATTCATAGACCATTCAAAAACATTAATTCAATATTCCATCTCATATTTATAAAGGAACTATGTATGACATACATTTGAACAAATAGCAATTACTCATTCATAGACCATTCAAGAACATTAATTCAATATTCCATCTCATATTTATGGAACTATGTATGGCATACATTTGAACAAATAGCAATTCATAGACCATTCAACATCAATGCAATATTCCATCTCATATTTATTAAGGAACTATGAACTATAAATGACATACATTTTAACAAATAGCAATTACTCATTCGTAGACCATTCAAGAACACTAATTCAATATTCCATCTCATATTTATTATGGAACTATGAACTATGAATGACATACATTTGAACAAATAGCAATTACTCATTCGTAGACCATTCAAGAACATTAATTCAATATTCCATCTCATATTTATAAAGGAGCTATGTATGGCATACATTTGAACAAATAGCAATTCATAGACCATTCAACATCAATGCAATATTCCATCTCATATTTATTATGGAACTATGAACTATGTATGACATACATTTGAACAAATAGCAATTACTCATTCATAGACCATTCAAGAACATTAATTCAATATTCCATCTCATATTAATGGAACTATGTATGGCAAACATTTGAACAAATAGCAATTCATAGACCATTCAACATCAATGCAATATTCCATCTCATATTTATTATGGAACTATGAACTATGAATGACATACATTTTAACAAATAGCAATTACTCATTCGTAGACCATTCAAGAACATTAATTCAATATTCCATCTCATATTTACAATGGAACTATGTATGGCAAACATTTGAACAAATAGCAATTCATAGACCATTCAACATCAATGCAATATTCCATCTCATATTTATTATGGAACTATGAACTATAAATGACATACATTTTAACAAATAGCAATTACTCATTCGTAGACCATTCAAGAACATTAATTCAATATTCCATCTCATATTTATAATGGAACTATGTATGGCATACATTTGAACAAATAGCAATTACTCATTCGTAGACCATTCAAGAGCATTAATTCAATATTTCATCTCATATTTATAATGGAACTATGTATGACATACATTTGAACAAATAGCAATTATTTATTCATAGACCATTCAAGAACATTAATTCAATATTCCATCTCATATTTATAATGGAACTATGTATGACATACATTTGAACAAATAGCAATTACTCATTCGTAGACCATTCAAGAACATTAATTCAATATTCCATCTCATATTTATAAAGGAGCTATGTATGGCATACATTTGAACAAATAGCAATTACTCATTCATAGACCATTCAAGAACATTAATTCAATATTCCATCTCATATTTATAAAGGAGCTATGTATGGCATACATTTGAACAAATAGCAATTATTCATAGACCATTCAAGAACACTAATTCAATATCCCATCTCATATTAATGGAACTATGTATGACATACATTTGAACAAATAGCAATTCATAGACCATTCAACATCAATGCAATATTCCATCTCATATTTATTATGGAACTATGAACTATGAATGACATACATTTTAACAAATAGCAATTACTCATTCGTAGACCATTCAAGAACATTAATTCAATATTCCATCTCATATTTACAATGGAACTATGTATGGCAAACATTTGAACAAATAGCAATTCATAGAGCATTCAACATCAATGCAATATTCCATCTCATATTTATTATGGAACTATGAACTATAAATGACATACATTTTAACAAATAGCAATTACTCATTCGTAGACCATTCAAGAACACTAATTCAATATTCCATCTCATATTAATGGAACTATGTATGACATACATTTGAACAAATAGCAATTACTCATTCATAGACCATTCAAGAACACTAATTCAATATTCCATCTCATATTTATATTGGAACTATGTATGGCATACATTTGAACAAATAGCAATTACTCATTCATAGACCATTCAAGAACACTAATTCAATATTCCATCTCATATTAATGGAACTATGTATGACATACATTTGAACAAATAGCAATTATTCATAGACCATTCAAGAACACTAATTCAATATTCCATCTCATATTTATAATGGAACTATGTATGACATACATTTGAACAAATAGCAATTATTTATTCATAGACCATTCCAGAACATTAATTCAATATTCCATCTCATATTTATAAAGGAGCTATGTATGGCATACATTTGAACAAATAGCAATTATTCATAGACCATTCAAGAACACTAATTCAATATTCCATCTCATATTTATATTGGAACTATGTATGGCATACATTTGAACAAATAGCAATTACTCATTCATAGACCATTCAAAAACATTAATTCAATATTCCATCTCATATTTATAATGGAACTATGTATGGCATACATTTGAACAAATAGCAATTACTCATTCATAGACCATTCAAGAACATTAATCAATATTCCATCTCATATTTATAAAGGAACTATGTATGACATACATTTGAACAAATAGCAATTACTCATTCGTAGACCATTCAAGAACATCAATTCAATATTTCATCTCATATTTATAATGGAACTATGTATGGCATACATTTGAACAAATAGCAATTACTCATTCGTAGACCATTCAAGAACATCAATTCAATATTTCATCTCATATTTATAATGGAACTATGTATGGCATACATTTGAACAAATAGCAATTACTCATTCATAGACCATTCAAGAACATTAATCAATATTCCATCTCATATTTATAAAGGAACTATGTATGACATACATTTGAACAAATAGCAATTACTCATTCGTAGACCATTCAAGAACATTAATTCAATATTCCATCTCATATTTATAAAGGAACTATGTATGGCAAACATTTGAACAAATAGCAATTACTCATTCGTAGACCATTCAAGAACATTAATTCAATATTCCATCTCATATTTACAATGGAACTATGTATGGCAAACATTTGACCAAATAGCAATTACTCATTCGTAGACCATTCAAGAACATTAATTCAATATTCCATCTCATATTTACAATGGAACTATGTATGGCAAACATTTGAACAAATAGCAATTACTCATTCGTAGACCATTCAAGAACATTAATTCAATATTCCATCTCATATTTATAAAGGAGCTATGTATGGCATACATTTGAACAAATAGCAATTCATAGACCATTCAACATCAATGCAATATTCCATCTCATATTTATTATGGAACTATGAACTATGTATGACATACATTTGAACAAATAGCAATTACTCATTCATAGACCATTCAAGAACATTAATTCAATATTCCATCTCATATTTATATTGGAACTATGTATGGCATACATTTGAACAAATAGCAATTACTCATTCGTAGACCATTCAAGAACATTAATTCAATATTCCATCTCATATTAATGGAACTATGTATGACATACATTTGAACAAATAGCAATTACTCATTTGTAGACCATTCAAGAACATCAATTCAATATTCCATCTCATATTTATAAAGGAACTATGTATGGCAAACATTTGAACAAATAGCAATTCATAGACCATTCAACATCAATGCAATATTCCATCTCATATTTATTAAGGAACTATGAACTATGAATGACATACATTTGAACAAATAGCAATTACTCATTCATAGACCATTCTAGAACATTAATTCAATATTCCATCTCATATTTATAATGGAACTATGTATGACAAGCATT